GGAGGGGTCGCGAGGGGGAGCAATGAGGGATATCCCCCAGCCATTTTCTTTCCGAAAAGAATATAAAGAGAAAAGGGCAATGTTTTTTTGGGGGGGGAGGTGTCATTTATTTTCCTTCCTCACAAAAGAGTTGAAAAGCCCCCCAAATATCATCTCACCCCTCAGAATGGCCATAACAGGATTCATGGGAAAACATCTCACAGTTTTTAGGCCCCCTGCGAAAACAAGTTTAACCCTGCTCCAGATAATTAGGTTCTAATTCTGGATTCGTCCTTGGATTTGTCAATGTAAATTTGGGAAAACGGTGCCTATATTGTCACAAGTGCATAGTTCTGTGTTCACCATAATGATATTGCCCCCAAGGAAAACCAAGAGTTTGTTAACGTGAGAGAAACTGCTTTTTTGTATTGAATTTACCACTGTGCACATCACGTTTTGGAGTTAGCAACTGCTTTAGTAAACCTTTTTCATTCACTATTTCACTGTATGTGAATGAACCGTCTAATGAGGGTTTTCTGAGACGGTTTCATTGTAAAGCCACACTGTATGAACATGTTCATGTACATAAAGCTGGCGAGCGGCATGTTTTCTTCCTGTAAAATGCAGTCGAACTTTATATTAAGAGCACTGTAGGTCCAAATTCTTTGTTTGCCATTACTATTAATACAAGGCATCTAAAGTAATTTGTAAAGTTTTAAGGACCTTGCTGTATCAGTGTTCCTCTGTAAATGTAACTCCTTTGAAAAACATCAGGGCTATAGCTTTTGTACGTTATATCCTTGAAGAGTTTCTTTGTGTCATGAGGAATAATCTATCAAATAAAGGGTATAAAATCTATATGTTGTATAAAACTCAGTTTTTGAAGTGCCAACCACCTAGTTCTCACAACTGGATGTGTAGTACATAGCATGTAATGGGCTATTTATAATCTTGTAATTGACATTTTCAAATTCAGCTTTTATGATTATCCTGACAGGCCGTTTCACGTTCGGCAGGCACGGTTCTACTAGAGACTTTTTTGGGAGGTGCTAGATCCTTCCCACGTAACGTCATTAAACTTTTGCTACTGCTCTGTCTTGGGGGGGGGCTAGACTAAAGTTAGTACCTTCAGCGCACGTAGAACCGTGTGTGTGTATCAGTTGTTATCGTAGTTTTTGGGCCTGTTATGTTTGTTTCACACAACTCCGGATTGCGTCCATGATCCGTTTCTGGTCCACTGACACCAGGCCCCACCTAATGGATAGCACGAACCAGCTCTTGGATCACTGATCCCGATCTGTGTGAAACAAACAGGTCCTTGATTTATCAGATCTTTCAGTACTGGCATGCGCGCCACCAAGGGTTTGTCTCAGACAGGCCACTTTTCGTTTACGATCGACACGCACTGCTGGCTGTGATTAAGCGCACTTCGGACTTGATTTGGAGATATTTGGTTGATTTAGGCATTCCCTGTGCCATACAAACCATTATTTGGACTACCTAACACCCGTTTGCAATAAGCAATTTCGAAATTTCAACTAAGATAAAAAAACATGGAGAAATTCACATTTTCCGCGCCAGTTAGCGAATGAGACTTTGTCGACTATTTATCCCGCAGTGCACTGCGAAAAGGCCTCTCCACGCCACGACGACTTCTTGGTGGTGCATGCGCTGCATTGTGAATCGCCCATGTTAACCATTAATCGTCACATGCAAAAAGGGCAGAAATCCTTCATGTTAGACAAGTAATGTGTCCCCTCAGTAGTTTGAATCCCGTAAATACAAAACATGATTCGTCAAAATGTTTGTTGGATCAGAATTTTATATTAGGAGGAGCAGAAATGTATAAGGAGCGCAGGACAGACCTGCCCTCTTCTGGGAAACCTTGAAATCGGCGCAGCATTCGCCCGGCCTGTGACCACTGGATAACTTTTTTTTTTTCAAGATCAGGGTCTGAAAAATTTCAAGATTTATTCAAATCAGTGGTTACTGTGTTAAATTTAGATAAATGAACCATTTATAGTGAATTTATTTTCGATAACGAAGAAGAAACAACAAAATATCATCATCTCCTTCTTCCTTATTTACATACACCCAGCAGGATTCTGCCGGATTCATTACCCGCTACCGTATCGGTCCCTACGTTCGGGGTCGAGAACCAGTCTACTTGGGTAGGAACTGCCCGTTGCTGGTTCATACACAACTATGCGTTGCACACATACATAATACGGTTGCATCACTACCAACAAAATGAGCATTCCCGAGCAATATTGGCTCTTTTCAACCGATGAGGGGGTGCTTCTGCTCGAGGCAGATAGCATTAGTGGACATTATCAAAAAGTGGCGTTTATTTTTTTAAGTTCGTTTTTGCGAGATATATTTTTTTCAACGAGAAAACGAGATGAATGTATAGAAACGTTTCTCTTTTGAAAAGAAATGTGATAAATAGGTCTGTTTTTAAAGTTTGTTTTATGAGATAACTGTTTTTTTTCAAGTTCGTTTTTATTGATGTACAAAACGAGCTTGAAATGAAAAAAAAAAACCGAAATTAGAAAGCATATTTTTTTACTTTTGGAAATGCATACTTCATAGTGGACTTTCTTCCCAAGTACGATAGAGCCCGCTTGCCACCAAGCCAAAACGTCTACTTCAGTTTAATACGCAAGCCTGTCCCATTTTTAATAGTCATTGTGGGATTTGTCAAGGTATTGTTTACGCTGGATGTATTACATGGTCCAAGTTGTTAAGTGGTAAGATTAGTTTGCTTTCTGTTTTGTTAGCGGTTGAAGTTCAACAGTCCAGTTGGGTCGACCGCCTATACGATTGTATAGCCCGTGGAGTGTCACGCGCTTGTCGTTCAAGAGGCGAATTGTGATTGAGGGTTAAATAAACCCAAATGATTGAGTGTATTGCTCGTTTTGCGCAGGGCTCAAGTTTTCGGAGCTAACTTCGTTCCTTCCTCCTAATTGCGTCTATCTTGCGAGTTATATTACATTGTGGAATATTGGGTAAGTTTCTCCGTATGTTGTTATGTTGACTTGCGTGACTAAAACTGTGCACGTTCGGTTGGAGACATGTTATTTCCTGGAAGATGGAATTACGTACATGTACTATCCCGTGCATATCGTCATGCCTTAAAAAGAAGGTAAATCAGTACAAAAAGAAGTTCGACGTTGTTTATTTTTGATCGTTCGGTTTTGTGTTTTTACTATTTATTTCTGTCCTTTTACCGTTTAATTTTGTCCTTTGATCTTTTCCTGTTTCTGATCGTTTGAGGTTTTCATCGTTTGTTTCGCAAATGTTGTTCGCAAAGCAGGTTTTAGAGCTCTGCTTCCATTTTCTGTTCTTCGTTTTTCACTTACGTTCTTCACTTTTTTTGAGCCTTGTTTTTTTTTGGAACGTTCGTTTTGTAAAATATTAATTTTGGTCCTGTGGCGCCCCATACATGTATGTATAAAACGCATTCGTTCACGTTCCGCTCTACGAGCCGAAGCAGATCCCTTTCCGGTTGGGTTGCTCTTTGCTGTGTAATGGCACAATATTATGTTCGGCAGTCAAAAATCATGCTGCTGGCTTTGATCTCATGTTGGAAAGAGATCGTGGACCCGTTATTTATAATGCGATTTATAGAAAACAGCCCTTTGTCACGTGCAAGACCCTACATCTGATCATCTGATGTACTTGGTCCGAGAATCTCCGTTCCATTCACGGAACTGTCAGCCTAGGTGAATCACCCATACAGGCTAGCTCTATGCCAAAACTAAACTTCAGAAACCATTACAAGGATGTCCGCATGTCTATATGCATGTACAATAATGTACACTTATATACTTCAGTCTCCCGGTAATATTATAGCCTATCGTTTCTCTCCCACCGCGACATCCTCATAATGCGATTCGCAAGCGCATACTATGTTGCCATAAATGTCCGTTCATGCATTTTTTGTGCATGGTCATAAACATACATAAACATACAAAATGTCTAATCATTGAGCATGCAGGGAAACGGCAGAGATTTGAGTTCAACATAACGTCGGAATATCTTCAGGAAGAGGAATCATGTTTAACGCAGTGTGCTTTAATTTGCGAGTAAATTTGAATAAAATCTGGTACTCTGTGTTATCTGCTGTCACATAAACGTAACAATTTGAATTCCCCAGACTAAAGACACTGTTGCTATACCTCGTGATTCGGGGCAAGCTTTTGCTTAGTGACCACCATCTCTGGAATGGACTGGCTCCTTTGTGCCCTTCTTATCATTGAGAACAGTGTATTGTTGCAAAGTGTCTTTCATAGCAACTTGAAAAGCTTGCCTCGAATTATGAGGTCTTGCAACAGTGTTTTAGTCTAGAGAATTCAAATTGTTATGTTCACACGAATTTAAAAACTCATTGTACCAGATATTCAAATTTAACTCGTAAATAGCTATTGTAAATTTGAATCTAGGGAATTGTTTATGTACTTTGTGCCTGTCACTGAACTAGCAACCACCGTTCAACCTTGAACTATTCATGGCCTACCCAAATCTTCATTTCTGTTCGACAGATACAGAACCTGCCCCCGGAATTCGGACATTTCTCCAATATCCAAAAGAATGAATATTCAAAATGCAGGCATGTACGTGCGCAATTAAAGGAAGTGGTTGAGTTATTCCCTGTCTTCTTGATGGGTTGACTTAAATGTGGAAAACGATACGACATCTCAGATTCGGAAATTGAAATCCCAGTTTCTGTTTGGATGAAGGCGCGGTTCCGCCTTTCATTTCCCTTTCAGATGCTGCGCATGCGCGCATTGAATATTTCATCGGAATTTCTCTTTGCTGCTAATTGTTCCATGTGGTTGACGTGGGTTAAATGTGATGCAGCAGTTGAAGCCTTAAGGGGGGCGGGGTTAAACTACATATTTTGAGCAGCCCCTCTCAAAATATGAAATAATCCATGGAAATCAAGGGAAAAGTACTTAAAATTATAAATACAAAAGTTGTATGTACTTGTACCATTTTCTGGGCACCAGTCTTTTAGAGGCAGAAGTACGGTGCCAAGAAAATGGTACAAGCATTTTTCGTACAAGAAGGCTGGGCTATGGTGGCCCTGGAAGGACCGAAGAGTGGGTCACATATTTGGTCGCAAATATTAACCTCAGTATTGGCGATTGGTGGTGTCCCTCCAGGGCGACCATACCGGGCACCATGCTGCTCCCCAAAGTGTCATGTTCTGGTTGTCAGGCCTTTTCCTTGGTTTCCATCGGTCACTTCATATTTTGAGAGGGGCTTTAAAAAATGTAATTTAATACCCCATACTTTGAAGTCGTTTTAGATTAAGAAAATGCATTATCCAAAGAATCGGGGACATGTTGGAAATTCTCTTCTCCTTAAGCTAACTCACTCACACGCACCACTTATGTGTTGTACGTACGACTTATATTTCCGAACTGACGACTCATATGAATCACAACTCGTACGTACGTAAGTACGTATGTACGTACATCTTCCAGGCCGTGCGTGCGACGAATATCTCACACATACGACGTGTGAATCACAGCTCGCAACTCGAAATTTTTTTAACCGTGTCCATAAATACAGCGTCGTAGCGAGCACTGCGTGCCTTTTGTAAAGTCTCGGATATCAACACGAGGTTAAGCTCAGCATCAACAAGAGGTCACACGTAAAACCAACGGCGGAAGTGACCATCAAAATGGGCGGCACGTTTCTACTTTCGCATCCGTTTAGAATGAATTCGAATTGGTTTCAGATCATAATGTTCGTTGAACAAAAGAAATTTCAGGTACTTCGGGAGGATTTAATACTATAGCTAACAGGGTTTAGATCTGCAATCTTCTGGTGAGTGCAGTTAGGCAAGATAGTAGATCTTACTGATGGTTTGTGAAAGTCCACTTCCCACTTTTTTCTTCGTATTTTCTAAAACTAAGTTTTGTTGCTATCATAGGCTCACCAGTTATGTTAACACATTAAACATATTCGCTTGAATGATAGGCCACACTTAAATTTCATTCTCGAACATCGTCAAGCTAAATTTCTAATTTCGATTTTCAAATAGTTCTGTCAGAGTAACAATCATAATGCTGATAGCAAAAAAAAAAACCAAAAAAAAAAAAACCCAACAAACAAACAAAAAAAACGGCCAGGCAGGAGTATTTTTGAACAGTCTTCTCTGATGGATATTCTTTTGTTCGTGGTGCAAGACATGACATGCATACGCTGGAAAGGGTCTTATGTACATGTACATGACAAATGTAAGTCGGAGAGCACTGTATTTTTCTACGATAGAAATGGGACAGAAATGTCAAACTCAAGTGGCTTCCTGTGTGGGACGTACTACACTGAAGCGGCATTGCTTTGTTCAGTTACTAGGACTATTTTTTTCCCCAAAGAAACTGCGCAGCGCATTCGTCGTTTCTTCATCATGAATCTGTATCCAGTTCATAAGTGTGACGTCACTTTAGTTGAAACCACGCCCACTGCACATGCACTGCACACTGCATTGGTGGCCGTTTACATAGAACTATGGAACCAGAAGTTAACTCGCAACTTCAGCGATTATCCCGGTCCAATGGGAGCCTGCAAATCGTAGCGCGTCCGCCTTTGTGACGATGTCACTTACGAACCGGGTTGATATTGCGTGATAACTATTTAATTTTGAGTGTTTTTGGTGGGTATTCGTATAATGAGTGAATGTTAAAAAGCACGAGGGAACCCTCGCCCAATGTTCGAAGTGGATAAACTTTTGGCTATTCTTTGGCGTGCACCAGGGAATTATCCACCGCGAATACAAGGCGAAGGTTTCCCCCATTTTCTCTGTTTTTTAGAATGACGCAATCTACATTCATTCAGAATTCGCATCTTGGCATAGTTGCGCTCTGAAGACAGATGACTCTGCATTCGATTTGGATGCTTCCATATTTATTTGAACATATAAAATCAGAAAAAACATGTTTTCCTTAGAGGTGCTCTAAGACTTTAAATATCTCGCGGTATGTCGCTTGCCGTCAACGTTTTCGCTATTGTACGTCTGCCTGTAAATAGGCCCGCAGTGAGCCAAGCCCGTGAAGCCCAGACACCGTATCAGATCAGCTACATGATTATCCTACCTGGGATCATTTGTGAATGATGATCCCCAAGATCTCGAGTTGTGGGGCTTCAAGTGAGGTTTGAATTGATCTCCTTTTTGTCGACAGAAATACCTCGACATGACGGAAGATTGGGGACGGCAGTCCGACACCAAGCCGCTTCTCTCCTACGCTCAGGAAAAGGGAGTGGATTTCCCTCCCGTGCCCATCAACGCTCCCGTATGCGTCATGACCAACGCCGATTCCCCGGGTCCCATCCGGCCACCGGACTCGGACCACAGCCTACGCAAGAGATTAGACGGCGATCACGATCACCCGCCGCACGAGCATTATGTGGCCTACGCTAGGCGCTGGTACATCCTAGCTGTGTTCTCCCTTCTCTTCGTCTTGCAGGCTGCTGCTTGGAACACTTGGGGTCCTATAGCAGATACTAGTAAGATATTTCACCTCGTTAGTTTTGTTCAATTGTTTAATTCGCGTGACATGATATAGTGATAATCCGACAACCAACATTCGATGTCATTACTGCGATGGCATAATGCTCGTGGACAGGTGGTACGCGCGCGTTACATGCGTCTTTGACCAATAGGGTGTCGCGATTTGCCAAATGCACGCGGGGGTCAATGCCACCGCAGATATGGCGTCTAATCGGCTCAGTTTATAGCGATACGTTAAAGGTCCAGTTCATTCTAGCCGCGGACGCAAACAAGAATGCCACACCCAAATGGACGTCGAGAATGAACCGACTGTAATGGTATTAACCACGACTCTTTGAGTTCTCACTGGATTGATATTATTTGACTGGTAAATGGAGGAGGGGTGGGCGGTCAGCACTGCCATGTGCGGACAACGCTTGAATAGGAGTTTAACGTGCTTGTGGATCAGGGCAGTAAGGTACCCACAGTGCTGCGCGTTTCCTTCATTGCCAGTTAAAGTTTAGCCGTTATCATCCTGAAGTGGAGCCCTGGCCCAAATAGGGATGCGTTTGAAGGGTTACAGAAATAGAAAACATTTAGCTTGCGTGAAGTATTTCAAAAATAACAATAAATACGTAACCATTTCAAAAAACGACATAAATTTAATGTTTACCTCATTAATTTTGACCGCAAAATGAATGCAAAGATCCTGCGTTTCCCCGCCCTCAAAAAATCCCCTCTTGGCCGTTCACGCTCCCGGCCAGGCTGAGTGGATGACGTCATCGCCAGAACGATGCATGTACAGAGTACATGTACATAGCGCACAGTACATACAGTATCGCACACAATCGACCACGTTGTGTTTGATGTAGCTTGGCCGACAGGCAAACACTGTCTCAGTTCAAGGTAGAAAAATAAAAGACACAGTCCTACCGTTTAAACCACTCTTGTGACGTCACCCTATTCCGTAAAGTGTCGATTATTCTTAAGAATGTACAGTTTGGACATTCTTCAAAAACTGATAGATCAAACTTGACTTGAGAGACAAAGAAAAAGCACTTGTGACATTAAATTACAACGCCAAACGCGGTGAGAAACACTCTCAAAAATAAAGCAGATTGTTTTAGACTTTCAATATGGTCAACACTCAAATTTAGATTTGACGCGGTAACTTTTCTGTTGAGATTAGTGGTTTTCAATTAAAGTGAACTGCTCCGTACGTTGCACTTTAATGTGATGTTTTTGATGTGTCTCCTTCATTGTTACATACCCCTTCCATTTTAGTTTGATTTCATCTTTTTCCTCATTTTAATTTAGGTTTATATTCTAATGGTTACGTACAATTTTTATTATTTTTTCCATGTTTCTTTGTATATTTATTTTAAAATTCACATTTAGCCAGTTTACTTTCGGTTAAACCTCAGTTTTAACTCTTTCTCTGTTATTAAACAATTTTCAAAAACAACTTCAACAATCGCAATTCATGTACAATTTTGCAAAACAGATTAATCGTTTAGAAACTTACCTATGATACTTCCCAGATGAATGAGATGATATTCCAAATGCATGTATATTCCAAACGGAAGAATTTCCTTTGGTGACTGGTGAATTTCAAAGAGCAAGCACGCACTTCCAAGGTTGTAAACGTAATCTTCATTTGAAGAGAAAGTGAACTGTAGTTCTCAAATCCGTCACTCGAGAAACTTGCTTGATGGTGTAAAAGATCCCCAGCTCTGTATAGTCATATCGATAGCCTTTAGCATAGGGCCTATTTTTGCAACTAAGACATACATGTAGATATAAATCCACTTGGACCGTAAGACAGTGTGTGCCGTGTGATACACTGATGATGTCCACAACTTCGTGTAATAAAGCATGTGTGCTTGTCGATGAAAAATAGTTACCCGCGAGCCGAGGAGTTACTCAACGGCTTGTGACAGGAATGATGCTTTTATGTACATGCAAATGTCATAGCTGGCCAACACTGGACAAATGACGGAATTCATCTCAACTCTCTCAAAGCGCCAGTAAAGCCTTTTTGTTCTTTGTACAATATGTACAATAATAAGGAGGAGGGACGTGGTTTAAGTCGGAGAACGACGAAAAAGGGGAGATTTTTCGATTCGAATGGGCGAGGACGCGTAACGTATTTCTTGAACTGAACATACAGTGTTTGCCCCGTTGGCCAAACTACCTCAAACACAACGTGGTCTATTGCGTGCGACACTGCGTGTACTGTGCGCTATGTACATGTGCACTGTATCAGCCTGGCCGGGAGCGCGAACGGCCCAAAGGGGAATTTATATCGGCGGGGAAATCTTTTTATTCATTTTGCGGTCAAAATTAATGGGGTTAACATTAAATTTATGTCGTCTTTGAAATGGTTACGTTTTTGTTGTTATTTTGAAATACTTCGCACGAATTTAATGTTTTCTATTTATGTAACCCTTTAAATGAAAAGGAAAGGGCATTGGCTATATAGTAGGCCTATGTACAGTTGTAGTCCGTTCTTTGTCTGTATAATTTCAATGAACTCTCTCAAATGCGCTTTGGGCTTGAGGCGGTCTGAGTACGTACATACAAAGGTGCATGTGAAGCCACCAAAGTATAGGCAAATACAATGTAATAGCAAACATTTTGAAAATGGCCCAAAGGCACACCCATGGCAATCTGCCTATACAGTGCTATTTTCCATTACTTTATTTCCCTGTTCGCTTCAGCTGAAGTCGTCCTACGATGGACTCAAGCGGACCTCGATCTGTGCATCAACTGGGGCCCAATTACGTATGTTGTGACGGGATTCGTCTTCTCATATATACTCAAAGTCAAAGGTCAGTGAATTGATAATCGTGTGCGTCCGAATTAGTATGTGGGTCATTCTGTAAGTTTGAGGTCCAACGTGTGACATTTTTCCGTCCCTGTTACACCAGGCCTGTATAATTTGATAAGAGATACATGATTGGAATTGACTTCAAACTATGAATTTGTTTGCTAGTAATTTTGCGCTAATTCATTTCTTGGAGATTCAAGAATTTGTTCAAAACGGTTTTAGAGTCGAGTCAATCACAACTCCTTTCACAAGTCCCTTCACAAGGCCAGTCATAACTAAGTAACAGGGTGAACAATGACAAAAGAATTCTTTGGGACTTGTGATAGACCCAAATACAACACTGGTTCAAAACTTACAAAAGTCATACCCCAGATGTAATCAGGTCAGGAAAAACTTGGACTTTAAAGTACAAATTTGTAGAATGACCCATCTATCAGTGCATTGATAACGAGTTTGCGTCTCAATCTATGAAAGCCGCCAGGTAGCCGCTTCCCCACTTTCCCACAGACTGATGTGTATTTTTCTTTTCTAGTCATCAAGTAATTCAGACGCGTGACTGAATTTGATATCGTTGCTCATCGATTCTAACACGTTAGTCACAACGCTGCTAATCAAGGAGTACAATGAAAAAACATAACATGTTGGTGTGATTGTGTTTTTGTTTGGAGTGTTCATGTTATGCTTTATTAATTTGTACCGGTAATTCAGCACTGTTGTCCTGATGTATAAGGGATGGTGATGCCGGAGAAAGGGGATATCTCTCTCCGGTGGTTTTGTTGAAGGCATACTGTAGCCATGTCCCACTCAATATACTTTCTTCTGTTTTCATGCGACGTTTGGTCCTACCTTTTGTTGCATGCAGTACAGAAGCAAAATTGGTCCCCGTTATCCATTTTTTTTCAAGTAACAAGGATTCTCCGATAATGATGCTGATAGCTTGTTTTCCTGATTACATGGGCCGTTTTCCAATACTCAACTTCGGCTCCGTCTCAGGCTTCACCTGTTTTTAACTAGCTGACTTTGAAGCTGTAAGCGCAGTAATTAGTCTGATAGTGCCACAAAACATCAAATAAGATGCAAGAGAGCCAGAAATTACAGTAATCCAATTTAATTTAAAGGCTTCAGGCCACAATCGGGGATTGGTTTTGGAAACGAAGCCTGAGACGGAGCCCAAGTCGAGTATTGGAAAAGGGCCATAGCTATTTATCCAACATTGTAGAGAAAATTGGTATGTATAGCCTAGGGCACAATAGTCCAAAAGGGATGGGCTGGGGAACCTGTCCATTGGGCGGCCTGATTCGGACGTTTTACATCCTGGAGACACAAACACCCCCTCACCAACTCGGCTATGATAATTAATGCTCGATCTTTTTTTTTTGAAATTTGACATCCATGTTAAGAAATAATAAGTACATCTGTGAGGGTCAAATTCGGTCTGATATGTGGTTTTGCAACGATTATTTTGAAGTTCACAGCCTCATCCCCGTTAATGTTCTTTAAGCACGTTAATACGAACAGTATGTTATATTTTTGGCTGAACTTTGTCGGGAAAGGATGGGTTCTCAAGAACGACATGTCCGATATTTGAAACGATTGGTGCCAATTGAAATGCAATAAAAAAGATCCGGAAGGCTTGACGCGGAATTCACTCCATCGTTATCAGAGAAAATATGGAGAAGATGGATTCCCTGGATTTTAGGTACAAATGTGCTGAAATAAACTTGGGAATTTCGTTATGAAACATCATTGTTTTCGCAGAATGTGAATTTTATCTTTAAAATGACAAGAAGTCTAAGGACTTTTTAAATTTACAGCGTACATTGGTGAACAGTGCGTACAATAGGACTTTTTAGATTTACAGCGTACATTGGTGGATAGTGCGTACAATAGGACTTTTTAAATTTACAGCGTACATTGGTGAATAGTGCGTACAGTGTGATGTTTGCCGCCTTTGCATTACTCAACACGTGGTTGAGTGAGACTGCCTTTCATTAGGATTTATCGAACTATATTAAATCGTTATCCCATGCGGACAATTTATGTTGAACAACCCAAAAGTCTTTCCACACAAGTCACGGGGTTGAAATTTTTCTTTGTCTCACATATCACTTGATTCCAGTTTAACAGTAAGGAAATAAATTATATACGCACGCTTTGTGAGTTCTCGAAACTACTTGCTGGGCCAGCAACGATGTCTCCTTTGAAGGTGACTCTTCCGTTATTGGTCAACGGCAACAAGGAGGTATAACAGCCAGTCTCTGCAACAGATGCTAAGGTTGAATCGTGGAGGATCTTTTCTTCAGTTTTTATCAGACAAATATTATGGTCATTTTGGAGACAAATCACGGTTTTGAAGATGACTACAAAAAGACCTCTTTTTTAAAATCTAAATACTTTTAAATACTTAAGTTTTGACGTCTTCATATGCCATACATTTTGATGGAATTAATATCAACAGAAAGCAAGGACGTATTTTCCTTGGTAATCACAGAAATGCCATAACTGTAAGCTGAAGTGGCCTAACACAGGCTAGAGGCAATCTTTAATATAATTATACCAGTGTCACAGCGTGATGGCGCTACAGTCACGTTTCAGTCCATGCACGCAGAGAAGTGCTCGGAGTAATATGTGCAGCCGGAGTTGACGATTTGAAACTCGGCGCCGGCATCAAATGTCGTGGCGTTGTTGAGCTCACACAGTTTCCGCCCTTGCTCGGTGATCTTGACATTGACGGAGCGGCAGCCCGGCTCCGTGATGCAAGCTGAGGTGCAGGCGGCGACGGTCTGGGAAACAAACTCCCTGATGACACGGTCGACGACACACCAATTAGTAAACTGCGGGTTGGTATTGGGAGCGAAGCACCACCGGCGGGGCCCCCTCAGACGACGCACACACACCGCCCGAAAATTACCACTACAATCAACCCCATACCATTGCCCAGGCGACTGGGACCGCCAAACGCCTGTATAGGCCGCACAAGTGTAGTACGGCAAGGAATATTGAGCAAAGAGCTCATCCCAAGGCTGAAAGGGTTCCCAATTCCTATACTCGTCACTCTTTTCTTGTCCCTCGCAATCCCACTCTTTATCATCATCTTCATCCCGGCAACCAATCCAAGAGTCCAAATTGTAAGGCTCCATGGTTGTGAGCAGCGCGTTTTCCCGCTGATTTCGAGGAGCTGCGATCTCAGCGCCCAAGGCTCGGCAAGCCGCCTGGTTCTTGGCCCACGTCCATGGATACCCCATCACCGAAGCAACACGGTAGCAGGCACTGCCAACCCGGACGAACAGCGGCGGGCAGCAGCCAGTGGGTTCTGGGCAGGATGCCTCGCCTCTTTCTGCCGTGATGACCACTGACAGGCACACTACACTTATGGCATTGCACAGCATCATCTTTGCCGGGCGAGGAACGACGGAGCAGAATGTAGATGGGTATGCCTAGAGCGAAGTCTAGAATTCTGAAGGCAGCTTCTACTGTCATCCATTTATATAGGCCTACGGCATCCAATCAGTACGCTGTTGGCTTTTTAATACACAAAGACAATGATTCTGTATTCAATATCATATACATATAATGCCATTAATAGCCACAAACAACGAGGACAAAAAGCAAAACACAAGAAACTTGCAATGCTTAACTGTTAACCCTCAGGAACATTTAACATTTTAGTTTTGGCCTTCCCTGTATCAAGACCTGAATGTGTATAACTGTGAAGTTTGAATCTTGAAAGGTGACGTGGAATCGTGACGGATAGATGCGATGAATTGCCACGCTCTCTAAGCCATAATAAATCCCCGCTGTAAGGTATTTCCAAGTAATGCCAACATCGTTGACAGACACCTGTTGTAATAACCTGTAATGCATGTTTGGAATTTGGGCCAAAACTTGAACCATCATCAACAAGGGGTGTTGAAATGGTCCAGAAGTAGGCATTATACCAAAACTAAATGTGGGCGATTTTGTCGGACGATTTTGTTAACTTCATCTGGGCCTGCTGGCCGGTCATATTAATTCGGACACTATGCGGCATTGACGAGACGACACACATTTCCGTGATCTTTTGACTGGATCTTATGGAAAGTGTTGTTGGTGAAATAAATCGTTAATTGAAATTAAGGCAGGCTTCGGATGCGCCTGAACTTTCTGGAGGACACAGATATAAACTGAGGCTGCAATTAACACGCTAGAAAGATGATGGTGATGTTTGTGGGAAATTAATGAAGCCAGGAAACATCAAGTGCTGATCATCGTCCATCTTATCCGGCTAAACACCAAAAACATTTTAATTTTTTTTAAATAACCTTTAGCTCGGTTTTCTGTCGCAATTGCTGTTTGTTAAATTAACTACGGACCCAAGCGAGCCACTTGTATATTTTATCTTTTTTTCCTTAAAGTCTGACAATCTTGCTATCTAATATTAATGGTAGCTTGGATGCAATTATCTTCCAATGCCAAAAGCCCAGCATTGTGTGGCTAAATTGAAGTTAGCCATGCATTCAGTGACGATCAGTGCCTCAATGAGGCGTACACAGCTTCGCGCAGAAACTAATTACAGATGACTTGTTGCAACCCCCCTTCAGCTCGGTTCACTGTCGCCAGAGCCGTTCGTTGCCATAGCGATGGACACAAAATCATCCACTTTTTTCTTTTCAGCGTCCGGTGATAATTGCTTTGGAACGATACAGTTGTCTTCCAGCGCCCAGGCTCTTCCATTGAAGGAGACGTTACGAACTGACGATAAAAACCAACAGCAGATGTTGTTGAAATTGACTGAAAAGATAGGATGGAGAAATTTGGATGAATTCAGGCGTCATAATTCCAGAAAAAAAGTTGGGAGTTCATGGTCAATGTAATTTTTAAGTAACTACCGTTACGATAAGTTAAACGTTTACGGTCACTCAAAAACTGACTTATGGTAGCGCCATATAACCGTACCTGGAAGTCAGTGTTCGGTCCGTAGAACAAGCCACTATTGGGTCATTTTGCCAATCAAAGATGATCACTCTGGAATTTTTCTAACAGCTCTTTGCCATTTTTCTCAACATTTTCCCACTATGACACAATAGAAGCGTGTATTTTCGTCCATGTTCGTTTCTTATAGGAATACAAGCTCTCGATCGTGGTCAGTGTTATTTGTAGCACGGGCCACAATATTTTTCTAGTGAAAGAGAAACTGAAGTATATACAACTGCGATTTTTGTCGGCGAGGGTAGTACTGGGCCTGTTTATTGGACTGAATACCCCCCTAGAGCTCACCCTCAGTTTATAGGGCCAGGTTGAGTGATGGGAAAAGGACAGGGCTTTTGCACGAAACCCGAAAGAGCCAAGTGGTAGTACAAACGTACTGGCATACAACCAAGCTGATTAATTAAAATTGCAGTCACTTAGAAATACAATTATTGTAACAATACGCCAGATCGCAGTTTTTTGCTGTTTATTTGTGAAAACATATTTAACCTTCTTTTAATATTGAGCAATACATGTGTATAGTTATTTCCTTGTTTCTGCATCAGATAACGTTAGGGTGGAGTTTAATCTACATTAAGCCTCCTCAACACTATCAAGTACAATATGGTTGCTATAATCTAGTTTTGGCTGCCGTGTTGGTGCCTCAGAGGGCGTTACACTTTTTGACATTGTAGCCTGTGTAGTCCTATACTTGGCGGTACTTTCCATGTACATGTACGAGATTCAGGAAACGCCAACGTAATAAGACGGGTCATAAACTGATGTCAGTTTTCTCCCATGCTTAACAGAGTCATAGTGGAAGTGCTTATGGTTTTGTTTGCCGTTCGTTTCGTTTATCTTGTCTGGTACCTTGTCATTTTCCGCCTCTCAACAGGACTACGCTTTGCTGTGCTGTGCAGTGCTTTGCTTTTTCTTTTTGGCATGGGATTCCGCTGCATACCAGTCGGCATCAATAACATCAAATGGTAGGTACATAGTGCTAGGAGGTGGAGTCTAGTGATATACCCGGTGGAGGGAGTTTAGAGCATGTCACCCTTGTTGCTTTCCCTTCTTTTTTTAAAATTTCAACACGAAGCACAGACGCTTCACAAGAAGTGTTAGCAACGCCCGATCTCCCTTTGAAAACAAAACCCCCGGCCCGTGATCCAAACCTGCTAACGCTACTTGAGTTTCTTGTGCTTGAAGTTTCATAAAAATGATGTACCAAAACTCATATCTGAGTGTTAAGAAGTAGCCTTGTTGCAACCCCAAGGAGTTGCAAAATGCTCGTATAGTGTATAATGCTCCATTTTTGACAATGCTCGTATCGTGTAATGCCTCAAGCCTAACTTGACTAGGCTACTGAAGTTCAAGGCAACCATGTTTTGACATTGATGCGCTCTACAGCCCATCACTCAGTTAAGACAGAGGGGTACAACAGTTCTGTGTGATGATGTTCGTTACTTTCAACATCTTACAGATCGATCTGGAGACAAGAATCAGGAGCCATTAATGCAGTGTCCCCCACGCGCGCGTGCGTAAACCAAAGAGATATGCACATGTACCCGGTTCGTAGGTGACTTCGTCACAAAGGCAGATGCGCCACGATTTGCAGGCTCCCATTGAACTATTGCTAGAGTTGCACATTAACTTCCGGTTCCACGGTTCCATGGTAATGGCGATCAATGCGTGCAACTCTATGTGCAGTGCATGTGCAGTGGGCGTGGCTTAAACTGAAGTGACGTCACAGTTACGAACCGGATACTGAATGCTTCCTCATCAGCCAATGGGAGCGCACTGCTAACCAAAATCACGTGCGCCTGAGTGACGCGGGGACACTGCAGTATGACTCTATGAGGGTGCAGACACTAATTCGAGTGAGAATTTCTGGCCAGCTCATTACCATTAAAAGTGCTAATGTATCTTTTGAAAAAGGAGACTGTTTGGCCCCCAAAATGGTGAGATTGTGCAAATCGCTGCCAGGATGAACTCCCTGGGTCTTTGAGCTTTCATATGAGAGCAGAATGGCTAAAAACTACGATTGAAAAATGGTCGTAATCGGACTTCAAAAAAATCACTTTTCTGGGGGTGATTTTGTTTTGTGGGAATAATTACAAATGTAATTGGGTAACCCCCCAAAAATTGAAAAGAAATTGAAAGATTAGGGTTAGACAATAATTTCATTTGTGCTTCTGACAGGGATGTTGGTATGCGTGTTATTGGGCCCTGAACAGTGCTGATTTTACACTGTTTTCAATGGGGCTTGAATTAGTGGACTGTACCCATGATGGCATCAGCGAATCTGTCCATATACTCGTCTCTTCCTCTAGGACGGCCAATGTTGGCCAAGTGTTTGTAGGCGTGTCAGCTCCTATTCTCCAAGCGGCTCCTACGCAACTCTCGGCAGTCTGGTTCCCGCCACATCAGCGTACGACATCCACGGCGATTGCCTCCACAGCGGGCTACCTCGGCCTGGCCGGCTCCTTCCTGATTGGTCCAAACATCGTCACCGACGTGCCAAAGTCTGTCACGTGAGACAGTTGATTGTTTTTACAAGTGTCTTTATTGGTGTTAAATTTTTGAGAACAATCGAGCACGAGAGCCTCATTTTTTACATTTAATTTTTTTCTATATTTTGCTATTGTTAGAAAAAGAAAGAAAGGTAAGAAGTGCAGCTGATCTTGTTTATTAGCTGACAAAATGCTTTTCACATCAAATGTGCCTGATGTTTTATAGGGCTTAGTGTGCATCGATAACGTGTTCATCATTTTGCCCATTTATGATGCTGCAGATCGAGCGATAATCGGTAAAGGGGGTCGTTGAATTAATTGAAGAGCGTAAGGAAGAATATAGAAGGTACACTAACCCGAACGGCAGAGGTTGCAATTTATTAAAATCTGCCAATAATTGTCATGAAACAGTGGAAATAGTAATCACCATTTTGCTGTATAATTGGCATACAGTTTGTTTCACTCGTCAATACATTTATCTCTCGATCTGGTACGGAGATCATGGCAAACTTTACAGGAAGTTTTCCTCTTCCGTTAATAGCAACGTGTTCCTCATAATTAGAGCCGAAGAACATGTAGACTATGCCACGAATATTAATTTTGAAGAAAAAAAGGTATGTGCGCCTGTGTCGGGAAACGCCGATCATTCTGAATAAATTTTTTGTGGGACTTGCTACAACTGAAGATGCTGAACGAGTGTTATACTGGCCGTTGTATTTCACATTTAGTTCGGGCATGATGCAGAAACACATTTTTATTTCAGGTTTTTCGTTTAAACTTTCCAGTTTATGCATCTGAGTTAACTGTTTCCACTACAGAGCTGATAACATCACGGCTGAGAGTCGAACCCAGCACTTCAACGAAATCATGAACCTATTGTACATAGGTGAGCAACCACTCCCCTTTTTCCACAACACCCTGTTCTTTCCGTTTAAAAGATGGGCCACCAGGAAACGAAAGACACACAACCATGCGGTTGAACTCTAATTTTATTTCGTATAGGCCTACAACCATATAAGGCGATCAGTGGTTCAGCTACCACTGTCTCCAACCTGTGTCGTCGGCTTTAGTGGATTTTCCGTAAAGTTCGATTCCGTAGCACATTTTAGGTCATTAAAGCAGAATGAATATAAGAAATAAATCAAGGAAGTTGTCTTCCTTCGGACAGAATGCGGACTGGCGGCAGCTCTAGTGATCGCAGCCTTGCTGTATTTCCCGGACAGACCCCCGACACCGCCTAGCGTCTCCGCCGGCGAGCAGCGAGAAAGTTTCCTATCAGGAGCAATCAGCCTCCTAAGGTAAGCAAAATCCTGTTTCTATTTACACCTGACACGGACTCCCCCTCACATGACACGCGAGTTCTGTAATTGAACACACCAGTTCATCTTTCGATAAGTTTACACTTCATTTTCTCGATTCATCGTATAGTTTGAAATTTGTGAAAGGATTTTATTTATATTGGGGGCATTTCCCTATGGTACTGACCTATATCAAAAAGTGTAAGGTGACTGCTCTGGCAAAATGTTTGCAAACTGTATTGAACTTGGAGTTTTTGCTGATATGCCTTTGAAATCATCCATGCACGAAAACACGCTTCGTTCAAGAATAAAGAAATGGATGGTTGTCGGTGCAAAACTGTACGTAGTTGACGTCCAGTCTGAAATAGTGGTATGTTTTTAAAGACTGTACATGGTAACATCCTTTGAAATGTCCAACGATCCCTCAGTACCGTCCATTGTACAATAAAAAATAATGCATTTTCTTGTTCCCGGTTGAAAATTGATAGGAACGCGCAGTTCTGGATTCCCGCCTTGGCCTACAGTGTCAGCACGGGCTTGTACGCGGGATGGAGTACGCAGCTGGACTCCATTTTTGACAAGTCCCTCGGCGTTAAGCAGGCTAGTTCAATTTTGCCCATTTCCCCGTGACTTCTTCTAGAGTTTGGTATTTTTTCTAAAATAGCACAGCAGCCAATTCCATTCAGAATTCCGGCAGTGAAACGATGCATTTATATAAGTTCTTTTTGTTGACATGTTGATATAGGATACCGTTGGATGGATTGGATTCATCGGAAACCTAGCTGCAGTTGCTGGCGGATTAATCTTTGCAAGGTACAGAACCCGGCGCTATTTTGCTTGTGATGCCATTACATTTTTATCAAGCATTTTGCTTGAGCCCTTTAACATCACGTACGTGCAGCACATGTACACCTGTTCAGTAGTATTGTTTGTGCAAGTCATTTCCATACATTTCCTAAACAAAAATGCGAATGTGGCGGGCGGGAAAAGGCATACCGATTTCAATAATGGGATTGAATTACCGACTTTGCTTTTAAAAAAATATCTCATTTTCTTGGGATGGTGCTGGGAGATATTCCTGAAGATTTTCCACGTAGCTTCTCGTATGAACGGGCTTTATCCAATGTTTTCAACAATTCAATCGATATGTAATTAACATACAGCATGTCTTTTAGTTAAATTTAGTTGTATCCCACATGTTCGATTGGTTAACAAAAATGACCGGAAAAGACCTGTTTTCCTTCGATATGTTGTTGCCAGGTTAGTAGATTTCCTCGGCGGTCGCATGAAGTTGATTCTTCTCGTGATGATGATTGGGTCGGTAGGCAGTTGTGTTTGGTGTGTCTTGCTATCCATGCAGTACGTCGCGTTCAATTTACGTAAGTGCACGGCTTGTGTCCCGCCCATACTTCCAAAATCTCATCCTTCAAGTTTAATGAAGAGTTTGCAAGGCTACCATCTGGCAGGCCAACGCTTTTGTTCCATAGGATATGCACAAAGCAGGCCTCCTTGTGAAACAAAAGAACTACTCTGCGAGATGGCTACCACAAGGTAGCGCTACATGTAGGTCTACGACACAGTTGACCGATAACGTCATGAACGTACAAAGTGTCCTTTCTCTATGATACAACATGTTTATAAATGGCTACGAAGTTGTATAGTACGTGATAATCAGGACAAAAGTTTCAGGAAGATTAGTGCTTATGTAAAACCGCTTTTCCTGGCCAGTGGCGTAGCTAGATAGGATTTTACTACAGGGGCACAAAGGGGGCGCGGCACCACCATCTTACGCGGCCACCAGCTTTCAGTGGGGTGGTGTTTGGGTTTCACGTTTCCGTCAAGGAAATTTATTAAATGTGTATTGATGCATGGTTTTCACGTTTCCGGGTGGACAGAATTCTGAAAAAAAGTCTTTGGGGAAATTGACCGATTTATAGATGCTGGTGACCGTTGGTTTACTTTGGATTATTTTTTTGCCATTGCGTAGCGAGTTTGTACATCTCCTGTATCATCATTGGCTTCTTCGTGAATGCCTCCATCCCCATCTATTTTGAAGTCACTGTGGAGGGCATGTATCCCGTCTCGGAGGGGACCATAACGATGATCATGACGTGGCTCAACAACGCAGTGGTGCTGGTCTTCTTGCTGTTGCCACAGATAAAAGGCATAGGTAAGAATTCAGATGACGATGAAACACTGCAAAATCGTTGGTGTAAATTAAACACCAGCAGGATCCATATGGGAAGGCACCAGACGTTTTGGTCGCGTACGTTAATTTGATACCAGTTCACAACCAAAGTGTCTTAAGTGATACGACTTGGGGCACAAGGTGCAGAGCTACCAGATGGAAATTTCGGGGAAATAGTATACAAAAATTTGCTTTATTCCATTCCACTCATTCCATGAGTCTCACAGCCATTCACAACAGTTGTGCCTGTTCCCTGGGCTATGAGATCACTTTTCTGCAACAGCTCGAGAACAGTGCATGGCTTTTCGCTTGCCTCCTGGGAGAGAATAATTGTAGTCAAGTGTCCTACCTAGGGAACTGAAGCGCCGTGCGGGAACCCTTGGGGTTCTAAGGCCTGCTTCAACCGTCGAACTGTTGCCGTGTGTAATTCAGTTTGCGCCGTTATCTGAGCCAGACACGGCAGAAGTTCGACTTTTAACTTAAAAGTTTTAAGCGGGCCTAACTCACATATCGTTCCGCGTGAGTTGAACACCAGAACCAAGTAGGCCATGCGTGCACGCTGGTATATTCTGTCACTGCGGTGTTATGCTTGACTTCTGTACAGAACCCTAGTAATTAATTAACGAACAATATTTCACTGAACATTCATTTTTTGTGTGTAAAATTTGTGGCAACTGTTTGACTTTGAATAATTGAAGATTTCTCCATCTTCAAGAGAGAAAGCTGGAGTCATATAACTCGGGCTAAGCAGGCGTAACTGATTCATGCTTGGCTGGTTTATGTTTCTGTTGTTCTAGGAGTGACGTGGATGAATTGGGTATTCCTTGGATCGGTGGTATTCTGTGTCCCACTACTCCTGATGTACAAAGAGCGTTATAAACGGCTGAATCTCGACACCAAAGATGAATAAAAGCAGATATTTTTAAAGTATGGGTTTAATGATGAAATATCAGTATTGAGCTAAGCTCTCGACGATGAGTTTTCATTACTTCCAGTAATAACACCGGCTAAAGTTTAAAAACTTTCTTGTACCCACTTTTGGAAGAAGTGGGATGCATTGGGTTCTGAAAAGAACCGGGCTTCGTACCGTTAAAAATGTGGGTACAAAAGTTTTCAAGCGCCTTTTTTCTCATGGTGCATCTCATCGCGAGAAACCTTTTACCGGTTACATTGTGCACATTCACAACTCACTGTTGAACCTTCGATCAATAAGCAGGCATCAGCCCTTTCTTAGAAGTGTTTCAGTAAATTCTGGGTTCACAATTTGAACAGAAAAAACCTATGCTCTGAACCATGTCTTCCTTAGATGACGCAATGGCAACAGCGCCCTCAGTTGTTTAGGAAAGCATGGATAATTTTACAATTTTTAAAAAGTGCATTTTTCAGTGCATTTAACCAAATAGGAATGTTAAGAGTTCTCACATATTGAAGAAGAGTACAAAGTTGCAGAAAAATTGTGTCTAAGAAATTTTCATTGCAACTATAAAGTTATAAAATAAGAGATGAAAGATTCACATTATGCCACCAAAGGACTCTACTTGCTAACTTCTCTCAAAACGGTCTCACAAGTAGGTGTCGAGTGAGGTTTTGGCTGGGCATGGCATGTTTCTGAAATAATTTCCAACCTCATCAAATTTTGCCGCTTATTGCTAAATAAAAATGTCCCCCTAGACTTTACTTTTTGGGGGTCTTGTCTGAAGATGAGTTCTGCTTCTTTCTACAAGCAAACATGCAGGAAATTTTCTTTCATGACTCATAACGAGCAGATAAGGAAAGTAATTTGTAAAATGGAAATGTGAAACTTGGCTTGAAATTACAATCGTTTTAGTTTCACTTTTGAACACGGTATATAACTAAGTGTAGTGAAGGAAGTGTTGTAATTATACGAGTCTTTTAAGATGACTCTCAGCATTAAAACTGCCGGGCGCCCTCAAAACATGTTAACTGTGACATCTTGAATATAACACACTTCAGTTGGATTACGTTGCTTGTTTTAACATATTTTTTTCCGATAATTAAAAATCAAGAGTTTCGTATCAACTCTTTGTCTCCCTTAAAGTGCAAACTCACCTTTCATCTTCAAAGAGTATTCCATGTCTTTACTTAGAATGTACGGACAAGTTGATATTGTACACTAAAGCAAAAAAAGACGCGGCAGTGTTTTCTCGAGAAAGAAATGTATTGCAATTTAATTCATGTTTTTTTTTAAGTTTGACAATATAAAGATCACATCTTCTCTCCACAGACCCATTAAAGATAAAAACATATTCGAAAGACAGCCGATCAATGTATTAATAGATATATACCAGTGATAATCAAACGTGTGTCAAACCTGAATTGAAAACTGAATCACACAGAAATCCTTTAGTAGGGAATCGATTGCAATGGCGACGTAAAGATACAAAAAACACGTAGAATATTTGTTTATATGTATATGGAGAGTATTTGAATGACACGAAACGCCCGGATTTCACACTGCGGAAATTGCAGAAACTGCTTTAAAGGTCTTGGAAGCCACTTGGAAGCTTAAGAATAAACCAGGTATATGGTTATATTTCTCTACTTAATGGTTCATTTTTATTTCCTTGAAAATCGATATTAGCACCGTACTAATCCCTGCTTCAATAAAACGATACATTTTGGGCAACCTTAGAATAAACTACGTAATTTTAGTGAGGTCTGCGTGAAATCTGCCTACGCCATTGTTGTGATGGAGGCAATGTTTTATTAACCAATTAAAATAATGAAGAAAGTCACGTGAATCAAAGTGACTGGCCACCATGTGAGTGGGTAACAAGCGACCGATTGGCAAGTCACCGATAGGAATAAAGGAGTAGATACCCAAGGTAACGTTACGATCCACCGTACTTATACTATGTGGTCTTGCGAATGGTCAAATAGGATTGGCGTGGGGCGCCACAGGCGGGCAACGGGCTTAACAACAATGCTTTTATAATTATATAAAATCATTATGCCATTATTCTTGGAATTCTTACAATTCTGTGGAACGTGCAAAGATTAAAGAAATACAAAAGAAAAGAAAACAAAAAAGTCAGGTTTACTGAACCTAGGCGGAAGAAATCGAATTTTCTGTCCCTTGTGGTGGCAGAAAAACAAGAGACAAGAGGCATAATTCATTCTGGTGAAGAAACTCGTTAAATGCAACAGCAACTTTAACTCAACCCACTTGTGGTGTCGGGCGAGATTCGAACCAGAGCTGGCAAACCGTAAGGCGACTCTACCAGCAAAGTGAAACATGGTTGAGCCTGAAAGCTTTAACAGCCGCTCTACTCTCATTAGCAGATTCATGTCAACAGTGACTAGTGAGATGATGGCAAGATTTCAACGACTAAAAACCGCCACTAATGCTGAATACATTGAAAGTCCGTTAACAAAAACATAAGCCTCGGGTTACTTAGAATTACTCTACATTTGCACATTTGTAACTAAACAAGTACCAAAATATCAGAAAAGTGCACCCAAATTACTGTCCAAAAGGCAATTTCTGTCCCCTGTCAAAGTGTCCTTGGAACGAAGCAACTTTTAGAATGTACAATGTTCTTAAAAAAAGGGGGTTGTAAGTGCTACAGGTTGCCCTTTAGCCAATCAGTGTAGCCAGTTATGGGAGGAGTGGAGAAGGCATCAAGGAGTAAAGTGGCTTGCTCAGGGACACAACATGATTCAAACCTGAATTCAAACCTTATTGGGAGCCACAAGCTCAAACCAACAGGTCACACTGTCCTGAATACTGAAAGTGAACCAGTTTATACAGTCAATAAACAAACTCTCTCAGTACTGCTTAGAAGGAAGTAAAATATCAAAACCACCGCTGCAAATAAGACTTTGAAAGCACAAGGCCACACTATTTGGAAGACTACAACACTTTTCATCAGTTTTGTATGCTGCTTTCCATCTTGTCTTCGTCTAAGCGATTGTAGTGTTCCTTATACATCATAAGAAGAGGTATGCACACGGCAATTGCACCAAGAAGAAGCCAGTTCATCCAAATCACACCTATAAGGCACAAAACGGTCACCGTTAATGAATATGCCCGGTGCTTTACATTACATTGACTATTGAATATTGTAACCCTGCATGGAGAATTTTGTCAGACACATTGTACTCATTTTATTTTACTTTCCCTACATGGACCATCGATGGGCCATCGGTTTGTCTGTCACCCACGGATAAAGACTGGTTTATATATGGCGCGTAAGCCTACAACCCCGCAAAAGTCAGACTTCAAATCAAATCAAATATTCATGCATGATTTCTCATCGTCTTGAGATTTAAATAGATAACAGGAATAAACTGAAGACCTATTTAAACACTCACTTCCTGACTGCTGTCATCATCGATATTTTAGGTTAACGTACCTATGTTTGGAATAAGCGGCAAGGCCAGGAATATGAGCGCGGCCACATTGTTGAGGTATGTCAGCACCATGGTTGTGTTACCCTCAGAGACAGGGTACATGCCCTCCACTGTTATCTCGAAGAAAATAGGGGGTGAGGCATTGACGCAAACACCAATGATGATACAGGTGATGTACACACTCACTGTATACAGGATAATGCCAACAAGCCAACAAATGAAACACCGGGAATACTTGTTGCTATGACTTGAGAGGGTGGTCAATTCTCTTCTAGAGGCGGAAATAAATTTAATTTGGGGAGCCTGTGCCAAGTGTATGTTTTATTCCTGCAAAGAATATTTCACGTGCACATCTGGAACCCTCAAAGTGTTTCCGAAATCTACAGATTTCATTCAATCAGTGTCTTCAGAGCTTTGCAAATTGCTCAGGTAATTTCAGACCAGGAATAATTTTTGGCCATACATCGTTGAACAAAGAGCTGTAAATCATGCGAACAGCATCACCATGGAACGCTGGAATTGCTTGCACAAATGAAATAATAGCAGCACAGACTTCGTTTTTGAGGTGTCCTCCATGACTTACTTAAACTATAAGGGATGTATCTCATTGACAGTAAGACACACCAAACACAACCAATGAAAGCTCCGGCAGTAAGCAATATCAGTACCGCCTTCATCCGGCCCCCAAGAAGGTCCACAAGTCTGGCAAGCAAAAGAAAAACATCATAATAGATTTGAGTTTGTTTTTTTAAAAATCCCCTCTTCAACCTTTTCGATACGGTTTACAGTTACAAGCTGGTGTACTTGGTTACTCAGAATTGTTAAATATATGTTATGGCTAAATTTAATTAATTGTGCTCGCATTTACATAACATCTCAATGTATATTGTTTTATGTAAAACTGGACTCTTAACATGCAGTTGGCAAAGACAACTTTTTGGTTAATCATTAACTAGTTCAAGTCAAGTTAAACAAAGAAACAATGAATAAATGAAAGCGAAAATACATATTTGCCGAACCAATTTCAAATGGAAGCCCTGAAGGTGTGGGGGCAATAGAAGAAATCTTTTGAAACATTTGGGACTTAAAGGAATCGCAGTTCCGGACAATGAAAGTTCTAAATTCAATTGGCTGAGGCACGCTCCAGCATATCAATTACTGGTGTCTGGTGATATTTGGCTAAATGAAACGAAGCTTTGAAAGGAAAAGATGACTGTTCAGCAAAAAATGGGGTCACATGCTCAGCAGTATTGCCAGCTGGATACTTAAGGGCACTGGAGCATTGATTCTATTTCTATAGTGACTCCATAATTTTTCATTTGCCCCAAAACACACCTTGCGATCACCAAGCCTGCCAACATTCCTGCAATATTGGAGATGAATCCAATCCAGCCAACAGTGTCCTGAAATGGAAATGAAATTACAGTCAATTGAGTTTTTCTTCTTGAAGCAGATTGCGTTCAGTTCCCCCCCCCCATGCCTTGTCCAATGACAAATAGATTAAAACCGTGGGGTGTACAGAAGTAGAGTTGAGGTAGACAAACAGGGAATTATGCAGGTACGGTACCACGTATCGATGTGCACAACACATCCATCCTTAGAAATAGACTCACAGGCGCTCATCACAAAATGCGAATAGTTATTATCACATTAAAATGTGGCTGCGATTCATGTTTCGTCAAACAATTTTTTCAGCAATCTTACACTCTTCTTCAATGTAAGGAAACTATTTTGGCATTCAATATTAGGTTAAATGCATTGAAGAGTGCGCCTTTTAAAAACATTACAAAACACACAAACACCAATTTTGCTTTCCTGGACAACTGAGGGCGCCAGGCTGTGATGTCATCCAGAGAAGGAGTTACCATTTCAGTGCATAGATTTTTGAGCTCAAATTGTGAACCTACAATTTACTCACTGAAGACATATCTGAGAAAGAGCTGTTTGCTTGCTTACTACTTGTACTTACACAACAATGAATCATCAAAGAAAAGAAACTTAAGGTTTAGGCTTGTATTAAAAAGAACTTTCCACTGCTGCCACCTAAATGTAGAGATTAATTAATTGAAGATTGTCAAGTGCATGCACAGAAAAACAAAAGGTTGAAAGGGTAGCAATAATCATTTTTGGCTGCAGGTCGTTCGAAAGAATGGCTAGAAGCGATGTCAGTCTACACTACAAAAATTCTGGTTTTATCAGAGGACCATTCCAACCTGTTTCACCGGTGTTAACATAGTTGGAGCTTTTTAAAACAGTTGGTGTTACTTTTAACACCCTCCAGTGCACTGTAACACTTGAAGGTGTATACGTAACACCAGCAGTATGAAAGTAACACTTTTTGGTGTGGTCATCTGACAACACCAAAATGTGTTGTTTCTAACACCAGAGTTTTTTCAGTGTATGTGTATTGCCACATTACAATGACAAATTGTTATTTTTTTTTTGAGCTACAAGTCAATAAAAAATGTCATTGTTCAAGCCAGACATGCTTGAGCATCTTCCTTCCAAAAGATTACATTATTGGCTTATTTATTACCTGGCCTATATCGAGAGTAGTTTTAAAAATTGTGTCTTGTTGTGTGCTCCAGCCACCATACACCCCACTAGATATGCTATAAGCTGCTGCAGTAATCCAAAACTGGGCACTCCTGTATACCAAAATAAAAGCTGAGTGTAATTCTACTGACAAGAGGTTGCAGGGCCAGGCATGCTGTTCGTCCATTTCATGAGGCAGGGTACGACAAACAGGTCAGCCATCTTAGCTCACAATTGGGGGATCGCTGGTTCAGCCTGAGTGCTATGTTTATGAGAGAGACAGATCTGATGAGTTACGGTCGGTTTGGGCGACGCAGTATAGGCTCTAGATTTTACATCAATCAAGTGGTGGTTGCGACTGATCAATCTTCAATCTGCACAATCAATTGAGAACTCCCAGGACTTGGTTGTTCTATTCAAATTTTAAAAATTGTCAACAACCCCGGATTTAATGGAATAAAACACGACCGGCTTCTGGCAGACAGACTGACCCAAACGTGCGCAACATTATTACTGTAGTTTTAAGACACAATATGATAGTCCAAGGCATTTATGAAGTCACTTAGTCTTGTTTGCTTGCATTTCGACACTTCCCTGCATCAACCGTGAAGTCAGGTTAAATTCTACATATATTCTGACAGCTGTCATTTCAATCACAAATCTGTTCACGCATCTTTCGAAATCCTGCCCTTTTCGCCAGACTAACTTGATCATCTTCAGGGCCCCATCTTTGAAGCTGTCCCTGGGTCTCGTGGCGGACAGGCTCGGTGAAGTCGGCGGCTTCTCCGGAAAGTACAGGAGCGTTGCTACGACTACAACGGCTGTAACTCCGCATTCTGAGAAACAAACATGCATTGCATAGATTGGCAAACCCTTACTTCACATTTGCATATAACTAGAAAACATGGTCCTTCTCTCTACATCTAGGCAAACCTATATGCACCAGTATAATGTAGACTCATACATACCGTACCTATATACATTAACCCCATTATTTCACTGAAAGAACGAGTCCGCTCATCCGGATCGAGAGGTTCAGTGCTGAAATAAATCATATAATGCAAATTTTGCTAATTGAGTTCTTTTTGTTTCAATGTTGAGAATCAAAAGACGCAGAGACTGAAAACATTATGTGAATAAAAAGTGGGTGACGTGCTTTCTGTTAAATGTTACACGCAAAAAAAGGAAAAAACGCATGTAAAAATGCATTGATTAAAATACTCTACGGCATTTTAGATATTCTTATTGGTCGAGAGCCCGTGAAGTGGCTGGTCTTAAACAATGATTTTTACCAAATTAAAACAAACAAAATGAAAAAATTTACTGCAAAGAATATTAAAATGAAAACTTTGAGCAAGTTTCTCCAACCCTTGTGTTAAAAAACCTCATTGTGAAAACCTGTTCAACCAATTGGGAAAACATTGCTCTTAAAAAGCAGAAGGAATTGAAAGGCCACATTCACAAAGAAGAAAAAGCAGTTTTTACCTTGAATTTTGTGGAATACTTGTTACGATCAATGGTCCGACCAGGAAGGACGCGGACATGCCAAGAAATGCTGCAGTAGTCGAAATAGCCGTGGATGTAGTCCGCTGGTGAGGCGGGAACCAGACGGCTGACACTTCAGTCGGGGCCGACATCATGACTGGGCCAGCAATGCCAATACAAACATGGCCAGCATTCATTGTCCTACAATAACCCCCAAATACACGTACCTCGTTAAAGATAAGGGTGATGGTAAAATTTCAGTATGCACATTTTCAAACTGGTGTACATGTAAGACATTATATACAAACTTCAAGATTATTTAAACAAATATAATGCATTGTTGTTCCTTTGTGGCATTTATTCAAATCCACCCTAATGCAACTTCTAGTTTAATACGTGATTTACAATTGTCTTTGTTTCTAACAATATTGTAAATTTAAATCACATTCCTCTCTTAACCTAATCTAAAATGCACATACATGTACATGTGTACCATGATACATGTATGTTTTCCCGTGGCCATTTTTCAGTATATATATTCATTCGAATTCACAGATTTATATTTTCAAATTTCTTCAACCTGAGTTGATTTTGTGCAGTTGCAATGTTAACTATTTCTGGTCCAAACTTATGTTGGGTTTAAGATGGGCAGACAGTTTCAGTGAGGAGTGTTTTAGTCTCGCTTTCCTTTTGAAAACACGCTACTTTCATTCTACATGAATGAATGTACATTCATTCTACATTCAGATCACAGAATTTTGTTCCATGCATCAGCTGTCGTCTTCCCTGTTGCCGGTGCTCTTGTTTGTTTTAAATCTAAGATGATTTTATGTTTTAGGGTATTGTCAATATTTTCACTTACAGTGTTCTTGACATGCTTGAGAACTCAGGAACATGCTTAATTACGCACAAGACTAATTCATTAAAGAAAGCGTACCCAAGTGACTGATACAATTTGAATTTGATCTCTGAATGTTGTCATTCGGTCACAATATAGACAACTTTCATTTGAAATGACAAAGTTTCTAGACACATGGTGTTCATAATGACCAAGCTTTGAAAATGATGGTTAATGAAACTGGGTTTTTCAAATACATGTACCGTACATGTAGCCCGTGAATTCATTTTATGCAAGAATTAATGAATAATGTTTCAAAATAGTCGGGAAAACTTATGGTTTATACACTGCTCTGGGGTCAATTTCATAGAGCTGCTTAAGCACAGAATTTGCTTAAGTGTGAAAAAACCTTGCTTGACAAATCAGGTTACTAGCCAAAACTCCATGTGAAGTACATGTACATTGCTTTGGAATGGTATTCACCTGTCTTTTGGTTAGCCTAACAATCACATAGATTTTGAGCTCATAACCTTTCATTTTTAAGCAAGGTTTTTTTGTGCTTGAAGCCCTGCCTTCAAACATTGAAACAGTGATGGAATTCACCTATAAACTTCTGAAAAAGTTCTGATTTCAATATGATTTTTAAATACACGGGGGTTAGGGTTAAAGGAACCATGCATAGTCAGTTCTAGGTGATGTGTGTTTCTCTTACCACTTCAAGTTGTCTATACCGACAGGAAGGCACCGAATGCCGAGTCCTAAGAGGAAGATTAGGGAACTACACAACACACAGTAACGAAGACCTGTAAATCGAGAGGATGTAGAATTTTGGCACATTATTCTCTTTTTATTTGTATAGCGTTAAGTTCTCTAAGGTCAAAAAAGTCTCCGGCTCTTGGTCGGCGGTGTAATTTGGTTTAATATGATGTCCGAAGCTTCTACACTTGCTTGATCGACTGGAATCCTACTCCTGCATAATTTTAATGTGTTTTAGATTGGATACGGCTGAGTAATATGTACTGTTGAGCCCCTCTAGGCCCCCGTACACTGACATCAGTTTTGTATCATACATTTACAATTGGGAACCAGACAAAAGAGGTGGTCTAATGTCCTTGTACGCGTACATCTGCAAGCTGAAAATGCTTCTATACAGTAAACAGTGAGGGGCCAGTTTATTTGTGTGTTAGTAGCAGTTGCAATGGACATCGCACATTATACATGTATGTACATCATTTGAAGGGAAAAAAAGTGAGGGGGAAAAAAAAGCTGCATCGCCGCACTACTTTTGGAGCCAGCCCCTGACCAGGAACCAGAGACCTTTTTGGCCTAACAAAGAGTAAATTGGTACGTTTTGGAAGTACATGTATTCTGAAAAATGGTGTTGAACTGTTTATCCTCACAAGCAGTGCTGGAGTTGAGTCCATCACAAGTCCCTTCACAAATCCCTTTCACAAGTCCCTTCACAAATCCAGTCGCAAAGTCCCTTCACAAGGCCAGTCACAAGTAACAGAGTGAACAATGACAACAGAATGCTTTCGTCAGAGCTCATTTGAATATTTGATGAATTGGCTTGAGACTGAAAGACTTGTGATTGACTCGAATACAACACTGTTCATGAGGTTGAACGACTTAATGCTCACCTGCTGTGGGATAAATGTTATGGTGCATACAGTTGGGGCAGGGAGAAGTTGCCTCCCCCGGGGGTGAATGTTGCCACTTTTAGGAACCGAAAGTGCCAACATTTCAGAAATGATACTACACTCTACCACTTTTCAGGAGGCCGAGGATTCTTTTGAATATGATTAAAAATACAATTCCAGTTTTCCCTCGAGTCAAAACTTTGATGAGTCACAGGTTAAATGAGTGGCTATTTCAATTTGTATAAGCAAAAATGTAACAAACTCATGCTCATACTCACCTTTGACCAGGAGCAGATAAGAGAACAGAAAACCTGTGATTACAAAGGAGATGGGGCCCCAGTTTGTTAACAGGGCTATATCGCTGTCTGTCCAATTTAACACCACCTTAACTGGAAATATGAAAAAAAGTCATTGTTTGAGGTTTACATGTATCTACAATTCCAGGGGACCTGTTAATTGGTAAGGCGTCCTTGTATGGATAATCATATAATATTACTGGGACATCCCACTCCGTTCTTTTCAGCTTTCTGAATACTGTTCTCATAAACAATCTCCAAAATGTCAAAGCTCGGGGATACACTAATCACTATACCAGGTGAAAAAACCTAAATGGATTTAATTTGACATGCTTGAATTAAAGATATTTTACAATATGGCAAAAAATCTCACAAATACCAATGTTTCCTCAGAAATACAACGCAGTCGAATGGGCCTTTTTACAGCACTGACCTGTGAGGATATCTACACCTCGACAATGCATATTTGCATTTTTTTAATCACATTACAAAATGGCAAAATTTGGGGCCCTGTAAATGTACGGTCACAGACACCGGTATAAAGGTGGATACCGAAGATGTTGCTAAATTTTTAAGGGTCAGATGCCTTCATGGGCCGATGTGTTCTTATTCCTCCATAATACATGGTACTGCACTTTGGGGGACTGGGAGACGAAGAGTTACTAAAGTGTTCAGAATTTAGGCCAACCATGCAGATGGGCAATCTGGCTAAAGTTAAGTGTTGGGTGTGAACAGGTATTAAATAAATTTTTTAAAAAGTTTCTTTTCCCCTTGTGGTGGTTTATAAGCCACCAGAAAGTGATAAAATGTCCTAAAATGTCAAATTTAGATACAAGTGAAGATATGAGTATTCAAGCCTTCACTTAAAAAACACTATTGGGTTTGTGCACAGTAATGGCCGTGTAGGAAACTCTATCCTTTTATGCAGCCTGATGACACAGTTTAATGTGAAGTCTAGTCAACTCCACACTTAAATTAAGTCTTGAAATTCGGAGGTAACAAACCTGTGTCTGCAATAGGTCCCCATGTGTTCCATGTGGCTGCTTGCAGGGCACAAAGCAGCGAGAAGACGGCCAAGATGAACCATCTCGCCGGGTACGCTTCGTGTTGTGCCCCTTCCTGTTTGTCTGTACCCTTTTTCAAGCTGCGTGTCTGGGGGTTCTGGTTGACAGTGCTGTATTTGCTCCCGTGTACGTGTAGGCGTGTATCACTCGGTGCCGCAAAGGACACCAAGGGGTCGGTTTCTGCCATTGCGGCTAAAAGCCAGCCCAGCGAATTTGGTCAGGATTGACGACAAGAACAACTGAATGATCTCAACCAAGGGCCTAACACGAGAAACAGACAGCATGAATCGTGATCCCGATGTTATTCTTGGGTCGCTTTGTAAATAACATTTGCTGTACAGCGGTCTAAGGTCGGCTTCTTTTGTTGGTCGATCGACTCTGACAAGGTCATGTGAGGCCTATACTCGATGTACAGATTACAATACCCAAGTGACGAAGCTTGCAACTCGGCTTAACTGTGAAAACAAATAGCAGTTCACTTATTCCTCGCGAAATATCACTCTTTCACGTACGGTATACCAAACCTTGGTACACTAGGCCATGCTGGCAACATTATTAGTTAAACCATGGAGAAATAAAACACATGGTTAAACCCTTGCGAATTTCGTGTAATTAGTCGAGGCAGGTCCGTGGACCGGTAGACTGCTTAGGCCTGTAGGCTACTTTGATGTCTGTACCCCGTAGTTGTCTGAAAACAAACAATCGCTCGAAATGAACCTCAAGGTCCAACCATGTCATTGACAGGACCTCCACAACAGAAGTAAAATTGGCCAGGTAGGCCTAATTCTACAGCCTGTACACAGCGCCATATCTGGGCTACAGTCCTAATGCCATGATCATCTTAAAGCCGATGAGAGTTCCTTCTCAAGAACAATGGTCGCGGCGAAATTGTGGCCCTCATCCTCGATGATAATGACTGCCGCGAACTAGGCCATCGAGACAACCTGTTTCTGCATCCCAAGTCGAGTGAACTGTAATTCGAGTGAAAACGTCACCGCTGTGCATTACAGTACAAGCAACGGTGCCCTTTAATTTTCCGCATGCATGGTTGGCTCTGTATAGACATGGAGGAAGGAACACCTTCCTTCCCCCATGATATAGACGACTGCTAAGCTTGCCCTTCGACATGGCATTAATTATTTTAATACAAAACCTCGATGCTCACCATATCTCTGATTAGCGAACCGCCATCCATGTAATACGCGGGTTAGGGTCGGGCGGATGATCCAGGTATTGTATTTATGAAAAGGAGATGGGGGTCCCACATTGGATACCATAACATTAAGGAGCTTTCCTCCATGATACGACTCAGAGCCGATTGTATGCGCGGGGTTTCAAATCTGGATGAAAATGGATGACTCGAAGTAACTTAGTAACAGTTGAGTGGAAATGGATAAGAAGAGGCATGTAACTGAACATCTAGGAACTAGGAAAAAGTTGGGGCCAAGGTGGGCCTACTGGGCGTCGTGATGGGGGGGGGGGACAGGAAACAAATTAAGATCAAAACAAAAAATAAATTAGAAAAATGCAAAAGAAATACAAAGGGAGAGGAGCATTACCAATTTGCTTAAAGACATCAAAATTGACCCCATCCACTTAAATGGTTCATCAGATCGCCGCTGATGAGTACTTTGCTCCTGGAAACAAATACCCTGGAAATAGTGCTTTGCCCCCGGATTAAAATCCTATCCACACCCATGAGTAGGTATTTTCCTTACATAGGAAAACTCCCACTGTTTACGCAGTTCGAAGTTCCACAGCTTTCATTGTCCGTCTAATTACCAAAGCTTTTGCAGGAAGAATTTAAATTCTGGATCACTTTGAAGAGTTAAAAACAATGGGTTGTAAAACATAATTACCTACTTCAGCCTGTTTTTGAATGGTTGGTCAATACAGATCACGAAGTGGACAGACTTTGCCGATAGAAATTATCGCGAAGAATGTTTGAACGTCAAGCTAGCAACGATAAAATCTTCCCAAATCAGTAAAACTCTTAAACAGAATTAGTCTTTTACATATTACTATTATTTATTAAACCAAAAATAATCTAATACAGTCACCAAAGGCGTAACAGTGATACAGATTTATTTCAATAAAGATTCTCTACATGGAAAGATTACAATCGGAGACCACACTTTTATGGGAATATTTCAGACTAACATACATCTATAAATTTCTCTACCAGATAGATATTTGAAGGAATTAAACAATAACAAAATATATGCATACATGTATTGCAACTTCAAAACATACTGTGCCTTAGTCTTCAAATTCCAAAATTTAACATTGGTTTCCTCATCAAATGAAAATAGGTATGTTAAAATGAACTAATGTATGATTTGATCAACTCCAGAGAAAAACAGACGTACCAGATTACAGGCATTTTTCATGAATTTGAGTTACAGAAGTTTTTATATATAAAAACAGGAACACTGAGGCTATATTAGAAAGGTAAAATCTTGGTCTTCAAATACACAACTTGTTGATATATACCTTCTATGTCAAGACACTCACTCTGACAAGGCGATGGTCCAGAAATCTGCAAAAATCTGTCTGCCATTGCCGACACCTGATGAAGAGAGATGCAGAATTCTAAGAAACTTTTCTAACCTTGCAGGTTGGTATGGACTGCTCATCCCCATCTTCGTTTTTCTTTCTCAAATCCTTCATCCCAATACCTTACATTATCTTTATATCCCCACTGACTTGAACTTTGAACCTTTGGTCATTCGACTCCAACTGTTTTTTTGTTACCTCTAAGGCCACTCATGTTCCACCAAAGGATGGAGTTGACCACTAAGCAACCACCTGTGCCCTAGGCAAAAGTTCACCCCAAGTAGAAGAGAAAGATCTAAGCTAACCACAGAGTAATTTGGTACATAAATTTCCTTATTCATGTGGACCATATGCATGACTGGATTGACAGAGAGGCTAGGCTTGGCCATTTTTCCGGCCAGAGCTTTTGCTCCACAGAGATACACAATTTGAATCTTTTGTGCTATCTCTTCCTGACAAAAGCAGTTACCAGAAAGATGGCTGCCATGCACAACTTTTATTAGATTCCCACTTCGCTAACTTAAACAGAAATGTCAAACAGTAGACAACATCCAAGTGCAGCCTCACTTTTCTTGGGCAATACCATGTCAACAGCGAAAGAATATACGATCTATTCATGCACTGCAATACTATACAAAATCAGTAACATCAACAGAAAAAAATGTCAAACCTCAGATTGACTATAAAAAGAATTGGATCTGTTTGAGAACATGGTTGTCATTTATCAAGCTTGAAATCATTCATTAAAACTCTAATCTGATGCCTTTCTTTTTCATGCTAAAATCACAAGATATTTTTGACCTTTGTATCTTAACAATGTTCCCCAAAAGAAAGTGCAAATGTTTCGTTACAGCAAACCGAGCAACCTGTTTCAAAATACAGAATATTGCAAATACTAAATGATGTCCGTAATACCTAAAACACATGTACAAGTACATGTACATTGCTTCAAATTCTAGACAAATGCACACAGTGCCAAACAAAATAAACGGAGCTTACTTGTTACACTTTAACCGCTGGCCCTCTTGGCCTATTGACCTCTTAAGAAACACTGAGTACCATATTGAAAGAAATTATTTGATATAAATTTCAAAGGTTACATAGAAAAGCTTTATCTAATGCATTTAACATCTTCACGATGAGCTGCTATAGTTTGAGTGTGATTCTCCATCTTGCCGACTCAGATTTTCTCTGCGGACCTACTGCGCCAATCCAGGAAGTAAACGTTCCCCAGTTTGTCCCCGCATATCATCTCTGTGCTGTCGGAGACTGGAGATGCGGTAACCGTGGTAACAGGAGCCTGGCAGTAAAACTGACCAACCTGGAAGACACAAAATTGGAATCACAGGCAATAGCTTCTTCCATACATAGTTAAGACCAGAGAAGCAAACTTTTCAAAATGAATAAGTGTAATCCTATATCGCACTTCCAGTTCCGGTTTTCCGACCGACCCTAATTTTTCGGACCCCAAAAACTTTCATCGGCAAATTAGAAAAACAATAAATTATTTTTTTAAAGTCCTGTGTCTTTTTCTTTCTATACAAACAAATGTCAACAACTTCTTTTCACATCAAAACACTGTTCATTATAATGATAATTGGGGCAAACTGATGATTCAACGAAGCTGGTTTCTGCCCCTACTCAAGAGTCCCATATGCACCAACTGTGGGATGCCTGCAACACATTCCTGACACGCGCATTAAGAGGCCAGCTCTGTGCTAGCTTACATAGAGTTTATACATAACTGTATGGTTTGTACCTTAGCGAGTCTGGATCGCATATTCGTAAATGGATTAAACAAATCGTAAAAATTACGCCTAAATTGTACAAGTTGGAATCTATGTCAGACAAATACTTTCCAAAAAGCAACTCAGAATGCTGAAACGATGACTTAAGACAAGTGTCTGCTTTTATGCTAGCTACAGAGGGAAGTTTTCGGGAAGTTTGAAGGTGCAACAATGAAGGTATATGGCAACATTTTCACCACAAGATATATGTGGCAAGTCAGGTAGACTGGGCAGAACACCTGTGCTGCCTGTTCACTGTTCTGTAACGGCATCTATGAAATATGACAGTTGTATGTTTGAAATAATTTTCCCTCCTTTGTTTATTTTGGACATCAGTGGTCAAAAATGGACCAAAAGGGATGGACTTCCCCCACCCCTGTGGAGGATGAGGCTGTTCTTCCATGCATAACACTTTCCTATGATTGATAATCACTGTCTAGCAAAATTATGATGTCAATTTTTTTTCTCCACCTGACCCTGAAATTTGAGAACTAAATCTGAGAAGCATACGGATTTGGAGCACACATTACCTGTTTCAGATTCTTTCTAGACCACAGCTTGAGGGCGCTGTCTTCTGAAGCCGTGCAGATTACATCATCACAGACAGCAATATCATGAACAGCACTTGTGTGAACCTGTTTCGAGAAATGTAAAACTTAATCTTCGTTTGCTACTGAAACTGCATAAAAAACTGATGACTTTAACCCTAAAAGCAATGGGGGGGGATCTGCCCCCTTCACATTTTTTCAGTATCTCCGCAGTGCATTTTTTTTTCAGGAGCTGAGCCTTTAGGAGTTTTTAGACTAATTCTGTGTGGTCATTTTGAAACCAATTTTGAGAAAAATCTAACCTACCGTTCTCGTACAGCACCTTTTTTTCTGTGAAAGGTCGTAAAAAAATGTATACTGTTTCCACTGCGGTGCTCAAAGCACGCGGGCTGGCATGCATGGTAGCCATGAACTTCAAATGACCGTAACAACAAAATGACACATTTAGTTGATTTCAAACTTCACTTTGGTTATGCTAATGAGTGTCTTCCCATGCATGCCAAGTTTAAGAAAAACAAATCGAGCGTGGCACAGCTGAGTTTTGGGGGGGGGGCCCGAATCCACCCCACCCAGCTGAGAGACTGGCCAAATTAACCCAGCTCCTTCAAGGTTTAACTAGCTGAAAATAAATAAAAGCTAACAATGGCCAAAGGAGCAGTCTGAAAGACTGAAATTTAAAATTAATGAACTATTTCTCGAGTTTACATCACAGGCATTTGAATAAAAGTGCATTTTTTGGTACATTTTGAAGTGTGACATTGGTTTTACAGTTGCAATACAGGAACAAGAAAGTTGGAATTCTGAAAGCAATGCTGTAATTTGGGATAATATGTGAGTAGATCTCAAACGGTTAGCCCTTAAGGCCTTCCTCCAGTAATTTTGTTTTTGTTTACATCAGAAAGAGCTAGAAGAGCTTTTTCGTTTGGAGGGTCACTCATTTTGGCATCCTCTTGGAAACTGAAACTTAGTGAGAGAAAAAAATGTTGAGGGCTCCTACTGACTTCCACTTTGCTAGATCCTTGTACAGCGCTTGATCTCAAAAGTGGCAGTGTTGACTTGCGCCTTATTTCGTTAGGTTGGGTCACACATGCATCCTTTTTTCGACTGCAACATCAGTACCACTTGACGAAGTATGCCTCTGCTGGCGTACCTTCTTCCTGGCAATGACTTCATCCGTCATCACGTCGCACACCGTCAAGTAGCCCTTGGAATCGCCAGTCAGCACGGCCCTGTTCTTGCCGCTGACCTTCTCCCCGAGACCAAGGGTCTTGCCGCTTCGTAGCTGGAGCCCGGTGCAGGCGTGGACCCAGCAGGGCTCCTGGTAGCCCACGGACTGCTCCTTGGTGGAGGGGTCGACGATGCTTAACTTGGAGCTCCTCTCCAGCTCCTGGAGTTGAAACAGAAGAATACAAAGTTCATGCTCACACTGGGTCATTTTGTCAAAAAATTTCCATTCTTTTATCTGCTCACATTCATGCTCACAACGGGTCATTTTGTCAAAAAACATCCATTCTTCCATTCTTTTATCTATCGGTGAAATAGTCAATTTCTTTTTGTCTCTTCAGAAAAATTCTTGAACAAGCAGCACTACTTCTTGCCACAACAAAAAAAATATTAAAGAAAAGATGTGCTTCAATGTATTCATGATGGATACGTACCAAATTCTTGAAGTGCTGGAGTTCCCCGTTGGCAAAGCTGGCAACTAGAGTGTTGTCTTTGAGAATCTTCAGATCCAGAACCCAGTCGGACGGTTCCTCTGACCCTCTGAAGAAACAAGATTTTATGATTATATGGCCTTGATTTCCCCCTCAACAGTTACTGGCTAATATTCCAGCACAGCTCCATCTGTGTAGCTCAGTAATATGTCAACAGCAATGCTAATCAAACTGAGGTTCCCAAGCTTTTGGACCATGGTCCTCCCTACGGGGTCGTTCTCGCACGTGGAGAACTCCACATTCAGTGCGCAAAATATTAATTGATACAATTACTTTATTACTTACATATTATCCTGATTAGCAACAGTGATCAGTGCTGTACAAATCCTTGCATTTTACTTTGTTACATTTAACAAAGTGAAGTGTGTATGCTTAAAGCATTCTTCCATCTGCAACTACACAGATATTTGGGGCATAGACCTAGTGTACCTTTGATGAACCCGGCGGGTCTTTCCAGAGTCACAGCGGAACATGCAAATCATGCCTGACCAATGACCTGTGTAGAGGCTATCCCTTAAGGGGTCATAGGTCATGCAGGTCACTGGGCTCTTGTCCTGGTCAGCGGCAAACATAGTCTTCCGATATCTAAAGAAACACAAAACTTAATTAATCAGTAACAGTTCATTTTTTTTGTAATGAATCATGAATTCTCCACACTAAAGAAATGTTCTTTTTTCTCTGGTCCATAAAATTTTGTGACATGTTTCCTTCTGTCACTCCAAAATACTCACGGTACTCTATATGCTGTATTGGGTGGGGTGGGGGCTTCGATCTCCCACACTGTCACAACACCCTCATCAGAACCCAGAGCAAACCTGGTATTACCCAGGAAGGTGACAGAATTTATAGCCTTTTCCGCCAACTGGGAAAGCAAAATAAGATTGGCATTAATTTGCATACATGTATTTGAAGCAGTGGAATTAAAAAAAAAAGTAAATTACCACATAAATCTTTGGAGAGCTGAAGTCCACATTTTGTAATAAGAAAGTCAGATATTTCACAGCAAGTTAGCTAACAAGAAGAAAAGCAGAAGCTCCAAATAGTTCATTTTTATACCTTGCTTGAAAACACCATCTTGGGAAGGGCATCGGCGGATGAATTCTTGTCTGGCATTTCCCACACCATTACTTCACCACTCCTGCACGAAATGAAACATCAGCAAGAAATGGGAAAAAACATGAAATCTTGAAATTGAACTGTGACTATCTTCTTTCCCCAACAAACTTAGTAAATTTTGCAAATCTTGCCCAATTATCACGACAGGCCCTATTTGACTAACAAATTAGTGATCCTCAAATCAGAAACATTCAAGATAAACTTTTGCCTTGTTTCATTGACCAATAGGGTGTCATGATTTGCCAAATGCACGGGCGCGTCAAGCTTAAGAATGTGTGGCTGCAGTCATGGCGTCTCCTTGGATTATTGTATAAATATGTCCTTAATTTGGTAGTGCCTGAGCGTTGCAGCAAGCCATTACAAGATTAGCCATATCCCTATCCCATGCAACTACCTGCTGGTGGAGACTGCAAAGGTGCCCTTTGTTGAGTACGCTGTGCTGGTCACTTCTCCATTGTGGCTGACAGACAGGATCTGAGCCTCAAGCTGAGGGGGAATAATTACGAATGCATCACAGTGGATTAAGATATTATGCATCCTGCAGAAATGAACAAACAAGCTGCTCTGGCAAAAAGGTTGTGTTTCCTATTTTCCTTACTTTGACTGCTTGAGCATAAAAATTGAGGGGGGGGCGATTTTGGGGAAATGTGGAATTGGAGATGAAGGAAAAAGGTGTGTACTTTAGTTTGAATGGGTGCAAAGAAAGTTATTTCCTCTTTAATGAGTCTTCTCTCAAAATGTTTCTTGCCATGCCCAAAAAGTAACATCTTCCTTACCACTCTAGAACTGAGGTTTTTCTTTGAATGGTCAAAGTGTTTTGACTGAAAGTCTCACTCTCCAAAGTTAACTGAGGAAGTTAGCAAAAGGGGTAATACTCCAATCTTCGAGCACCCTGCCTTGGGGGTTTACCTTTGGTGTCCAGATCTTCACCGTCTTGTCCAGTGATCCTGTGATGATATCACCTTTGCCGGACACGGCTACAGCCACCACACTGTCCGAGTGACCACTCAATGATGCCATCTCGTTGCCCTGGAGACAATTAACAAAAGTATCCATCATCCCTCATTCCTATGAAGCAATTTGTTTTCCTACAAAAGTCAGGTTTCCAAGGTGATATTTACTGTCAATGGAAAGACATGCAATGCAATTGGATCGAAGAAGATGAGATTGAAGTACTCTTGGAACATGCACGTAAGTGTGATGTAGTATTTCAAAGAGAGTTCCTTTAAATCTGGATAAGGGCCTGGCCCCATCAATGGGCTGGACCATGTATACCAGGGATGGCCAGTAGTGGAGGAGACAACAAGCAAATAACACAATGGCCTCACCTGTAGAGGTTTCCACAGGTGTGTCATGGCATCGTCACCGCCAGTTGCCACGACAACATTCTCCAGCCGCACCATCTCCACCTTGTCCAGTTTCCTCTTCTCGTGCTTGTCCTTCCACTCCTCTTTGGCCACCATGCTTGACCAAGGCTGGCTCGGCGCTCCAGACTCTTTGGTGCCCAGGTCTTCAAATAAATCTGCCGCCAAAATGACCAAATTCACAAATGCACATGAATGCTTATAGAAATTCCGGCTCTTGTTTTTGGAAATTGTCAAACTAAAGGCCAACAGCAAAATTGTTCAAGGCCACATATGCATTTGAAAATTTGGTGAATGTACCAGTTGTTATTTCATGACCCCTATAAATTGATTTAATCTCTCCTGAGTTCCTTAGATTAACCCTAACCCCCTAGGGTGTATGTAAAATGGTATTGAAATTGAAGGATTTGGGACTGTTAGGGTTAAAGAAATGTTTTCTGCGTTGACTGTTGATATCTTTCAATGAATACATTACAGTAAACTCTTCATATCTGAGCTCCTTCTTCAGATACTTCTAAAAACTGTGAATTACAAGAAAATACTGCTGAACAACATACTTGACATCTGTGTGTTGCTACCACTGCAAACTAGAGGGTCCTACTTTGGAATGCTTCAACATAAATCCCAGATTCTGATTGCAATGCAATTTTTATGAAGTATACAAAACCATTAAAAAAACGCAGCGTACAAATACGCCTTTATGTCCAATGTGTTTGAAAAATCATATTATAAAATTTGGAGGATTAATTAAGGACTGTTGGGCTAAAGATAATCAGGGTTCTATTGAGAATCACAAATAAAGTGATGGAAGTTTCACGCTTTGGATTTCCTTAGAGTAGGGAAGTTCACATATCCTTGTTCATACAGGACTATCTGCGCTTACCCTCAAGCTGCTTGGCCGACACAAAGATATCGCAGCAGTTGACGCGACTGTTGTGGCCGTACAGGGTGGTGATCTCAATGCCCTTGTGTGACCAGACTCGGATGGTACCATCAAAGCAGGCGGACACAACACAGCCTTGCTGAAATGACCGGGGTAAAAAATACATAAACACTAAAATAATGGGAAGGAACAGGGAAATAAGCACTGATACTGCTTCTCTCTTGAGAACTCTGCTGCGGCTTTTTGAAGGGAAGACGGCAGGATCACAGAATGAGGGGTCCGTAAGAGATTGCTCCTTGTGGCGGTTGGTCGTCCCAGCACTTTTCAACTGTGCTTGAATTGCAAAGCTTAGAATGGTGAGAATTCCAGAAACCCAAGATCGGCAGGTGTGCTTAGAATTGGGCAGTTGGCAGAGTTTTACAACTAGGAGAAATTTACAGGTTAGTGTGACATCGAAGAGCAGCCATTCTTCTCAGCGTGGTAAAGGGGGTAAAAATGGGGCATCACTGTGCCAAACAATATTAATCTCGCGAGAGTGAACTGGTTGTATTTTGGGGAAAAGTGCAACTTCTTGAAATTTCTAACTTAATGAGTTTATTTACTGAGTTACCATATAGATATGTGCTTGTGCGGTGCTTTAAGATAGTGATGAAAGACAGATGACAAACATAAGGATGTTACATTTTAGGTTTCAACTGTACATTTCAAAACAAGCGGCCCCTTTGGAACACTTCTTCTTGTAAAATTTATCCTGGGAATAAACCTTGAAGGACTTACACTGTACGCAACAGCGTTGATGGCGCTGGTGTGCCCGATAAACTGGCATTTTTCATTCATGGCTTTCATGTCCCAGAGTTTCAGGGTGAAGTCATTAGAAGCAGTCACCTGCAACAAGATAAAGCATAGGACTTGTTATATCAATTCTTGGTCAGTGAACCTTATTCTTCACTTTGGGATGATGCTCAGCTCTTGCAATGGTAGAGTAAAAAAAATGGTAGACTGAACCTCCTTTCATCTCCTGGATTTAGCAGATAAACAATCCCATGAATGTATCACCAAGCACCAGCAAATATTCACACCTTGAAAATATCAAACCCACTATTCCCAAAGCAGGATGACTTGCTAGAAAAGCTTCTGGTAAGTTCTGCAACTTTTACGAGTGACTGTTGGTGAAATCACACCACAAGAGCAACGCAACGTCCAAAACTTCAACTATCTACACCAGCCAAAGATTTCCGCTTTCGACGTTGTTCAGTGGACTGATTTGAAGAAGAAAACACAGCTCATTAGTGGTTGAAGATTTTATTGAAATAAAGCAACCCACATCAGTGCTTATGTCTTAATGAGAGGGGTCACATTGATCAGTATACCTCAATTTAGCAGCAAACCTTTTAACAACTTTGATTAAACCTGGTGCCTCTCTGGGTAGCTAGGTCTCACTGTCGTTTGATTTCCCTAGAAACTAAATCTTTCTTCTTGTCCGAATTATTGATTGATCATTATTCTGGTAGGTAAACAGTAAATTTGAAGGTATTTAGGAATACATTCATTAGAGAGATTATCACTTGTCGTACCAGGAAGTCGTTGCTATCTGACCAGCACAGCGCCGTCACCCAGTCCTTATGGCAAGCGTGTATCTCGGCCAGTGGTCGCAATGCTTTGCCTCGCTTGCCGCTTATGTAGTCACTCTCCATGCTCCACACCTGCAGGCTCTGTGAGGGCAAAAATTGCAATGAGCCAAACTTTAGAGTGTTCATATCCGAGGAAAATTGGGGATGCGAAAAGAATGTGACGTGCGACCCATAACCGACCCTGTTCCAACAACACAAACGTGAATGCCACCACCATCCCAAAAACCAGGCTGAAAGAATGTTAAGCTGCATGTACTATCGGCAAAATGACACCAAAATGAGCAATGCAAACTCAAAAATTCGGTCACTGCCAACAACTACTGAAGATTTCTGTAGACACAATTCTTCCTTTACATAACTCTGAAGCATGAAAAACCAACAGCAATGGGAAGACTTGTCAACATCAATCTACCTACTTCAGCTTGGTTTGGAAACACTTGGCCAAAAGGAATCTTGTTTCAAGTGCTTAATCTAACACAAAACACATAAAGCACAGCCAGTATACCAGTGCAGTACTCATCCTAACAGATTCTAACAAACCCTGGTGTTGGAATTTGGTTGGTTGGGGATCGATATCTCCTTCATCAAGCTTTTTAAAGAACCAGATTATTCCATTTGCAAAACCGTACCCCCATAACCACCCCTGTCCAAATATTACAACAGAAAAGGTTTTAACTGTTTAGTTGGTTTCATCAAATTTTTCCTAGCAACCAAGTTTACTACATCTGAAGGACATAAGTAACCAACCCTGTCCTAACAATACAAAGGAAAATGTTTCAGTTGTTAATAAGTTTCATCAAAGTTTCATGAACACATCAAAAACACCAAGTTTTTGTATTTGAAAAGTCATGAATGTGAAATGCCACGACAGCAAGACCCACTCACTGCCTTTTTGGCACAAGAATGAGCCTTGAGCTGGACCAATAGAGGGTGCAATTTTCTCAGCAACAGAGGGTCCCTTTGGTCAGAAGTAAACTTCGCTAGTGTACGACTAACTAGGAAATGCATGTGTTAAGCTTGCATCGCTACCTACAAAATTAACACTCCTGATCAATATGGCTCTTTTCAACCGATGAGGGGGTGCTTCTGCTCGAGGCTGCTACTCTAAGCTCTTTTAAGCATGTTCCGCACTACAAAATCTCAAAACTGACATTCTTTGTCCTTGTGTTAGGGAAGCAACAAATCAATCATTCTGACTCTTCTTAGCTTTTCAAGTCTCGTTGACCTTGGTGATCTTACCGCATCTTTGCTTCCCGTGGCCAGTCTGGTGCCGTCCACACTGAACCCACAGCAGGTCACGGTGCCGTTGCAAGTTGCATGGATCACAGCAAGGCAGTCCAGGCTGCATACAGCGGAAGAAATTGTATGTCAGAAACTGTGTTTATCATTATGGAAATAAATCTGGCCACTGACGGTGGCTAACATGTTTCAGAAGCAATGCTACACAAATCATGAGCAACAAAAGACAGGAAAACAGGCATAAGGAAACAAAAACAAGAGCTAGTTCCTTGATTCAAAAGGGGGTTCCAATGTTGCACCCCAAAGGTTATTAAAAAAACTCCAAAACAAAAGAAAACACACCATACTGTTAACCCCCCCAGAACTATTCAAAAAGTATCTTCCTTTGCATTAATGTCGCTCTAACATTACCCTCAACCCAGATGAACAAATATCACACAGTACCAGTACTTGTCTTTTTGAGGGGCAATTTCAGGGGAGGAGGTCACAAAGGAAGAGCAATACAACCAAAAAAGAACCTCGAGTCAAAAATGTGCCTACGTTTTCTGGTTGGGCTTGCGGTCGTAGGGCAAGCGCCATATGTGGATGGTGTTGTCCTCGTAGGTGGCTGCTGCCAACCGGTTGGGCATGCTGTAGGCCAAGCTGGTGACCGGCTTCAGATGGGAAGCCAGGACGGTGTTGACGGAACCCTTGGTTCCCGACAGAAGCTATGGATTGAAGACAGGGGTAAAATTAATAAATAATCGACTGAAGGAGAGAGTTTGTGATTTCTTTCCCCGTGCTGGGTCACTGCAAAAGATAGTTTGTTCTGTCTACAGTTTGTTCCATCTCTTTTGCAGAATACCCCCTCCTGTAAATGGAGCTGTGGCGCTGGTAAACCCCGCTTTAACTATCCCCAGCCCTCTGTGGGTTTTCTTTAAGCACCCTGCCAAACCCGACAGAACCCAACAGCTAGAGCAAAAGGCCTTTTGTTCACTTTTGTTCATCAACAAAATCCCACAGAAAGAGTCCACAACTGAACATTGTTGGCTTTATCATGGTTACGGTTAAGGGTCCTCTGATATTTACAAATGTCAGGGAGGCTCCACGGTTGCCATGGACACCATTTTTTTCACTTTATTTCAATTGAAACTGCTTCTCTCAGTGGACATTATCAAAAGGACACCAAAACTTCCAAAGCCTTCCACATGTTTTCATTTTGCAATCACAACATGAGTGGCACTGACTCCATATTTGATATTCTGGCAAATTCTGTGTTCATCTGTGTAATAACCAATTGGCTGAGAATGAAGCATATAAATAAGATTGCAGGCTCTTCATAATTAGCATAAAAGCAACCAAAAATGTGAACTGAATGCTACACAGAACACATAGTGACATTCGTTTCAGTTCAGTGTGAATATTTGCTATCACGTAATAAATTTCTATTGTTTGCTTTTGTCCCACGTGTGAACCAGTCTGTAATTACAACGGATTACAAACTGGAAACCAAAACATCTATTAAAGACGTTACAGGTCAGTACAGGAAGAATGTAAAATTAAACTAGAGCTAAATAAAAATTAAACTTGACGTGTTACAAGATTTTGTGGGGTTTTGTGGGTTACTTGTGGGTGAAAACCTTGAATTACCCCTTATTTAATTTTGCACTCTTCCCTGATGATTTTTATTGTCAGCGCACTCACTGCGACATCTCCAGAATCCCATCCGGCCAGCAACTCCCGCTGACCTCCTGGGGTCATGACCCATCGCAGCCCCATGACCCTGGCCTGGTGGTGCTGCACTTCCCAAATCACCGCCCCGCTGTTTGTCTCGTACAGCCGCACACTGCCGCCGTGGTAGCCCACCGCCACCTGCATCCCGTCCAGGCCGATGACCGCGGCCGTGACATGGCCGTAGCGGTCCAGGCCGAAGGTGGCTGTTTTGCGGCCCAGGTTGCCGGACCACACCTAAGAAAATTGTCAGCGGAGAATGAAGGTGGAAGTTGTTCGCTTTAATTGAGAAAATGTGCCAGTACCCAACACACTTTACACTGTGTATGTTATTATGACCAATTCCTAGAAGAATTTTGCTAAGCACCAGGGCTCCAGCCAATGTTGTATGAGAAACCATCTCAAAGCTGTACACGAGACCAGACACAAGACCAGTGGCAACTAACAGGGTGAACAATGGCAACGGAATGCTTATGTTGTAGTTCATTTGAATAGCTTTTGACTTGAATTCAGACTGCAGGGCTTTTGCGACTTCCAGAGACAACTTTCAGTGAAAGTAAACATAGATTGCCAATTTAATATAAGTTGTTACCTTGACTCTCTGATCGTCACTGACAGTCACGAGCTGCCGTCCGTTGGGTGAGAAAGCTAGACGGTTGATGGGCATCACATGTCCGTCCAAGCCCCCAACCTGGTCAGTAGTGAAAGAAAGTGGAACACTTTCAAATTTTGTAGTTTGGGGCAGGTTTTCAGTAACAGACCACTTATGGATGTCATAACAGGAGGTTTGGAAAGTAGAACCACCATTTTCAACATTCAGAATTGAATTTTGATGGTGAAACACATCAGAGAAATGGCCTCAGAGACAATATCCTATGGATCCCATCTGTCTTGGAGGTTGAGGGTTCACCAATTTCAAAGTTTTTCTGTCTATAAAGTACTCATAATGAGACGGGTTTCAAAAGAGGGAAGTTTTCATTTTTAAATTTGTTACCTCAAATGATAACCCTGCCTCTTTTAAACTGATGAAATATCTGGTTGGAAATAATGTAACAAAATTCAAACAATGTGCATTAGATGGATTGTTAAACAGCACATGCTTTCCAGCGGCTGTACATGAGTGATTGAGGGCACTATCTTTCCAAGTACTGGCATCTTCAGGGTCAACAAATACTTCATGCATGCACAATCTGAATGTGCGTAGGCCTGTGAGGTCTTCACTTGGGCACCAGCCCCACCCAGTGTTGGTCCGTACTCTCATTCGACTAAGGCCATGTCTGAATTACTTGGCTGGGCACGAGTCTATGGTAGTGGCTACAGCCAGTTCCCACAATGTCGCGTGTGATTTCAGGCCACAGGCAAATGACTTGAATGCGGCCTACGCACAAAATAGATTTGCTTAGCAAAAACAGTTACCAGCCAAAAAAATCTTGCGACGTATACTATTTCTAATTGGTTTCCCGCTAACTTCCTGGCACGCAAATTTCGCTAAGCAATAATTTCAGCTCAAAAGCCCTATGAGGCTGCACCGTGGCCGACATACCTGGGTGCCAGTCTTTGAGGACCAGATTTTGACCGTTCCATCCAGGGATGCTGAGGCAATGTGCGCCCCACTCGGAGAGTATGCTACTGCACGCACCGAGGCCTTGTGACCTCGCAAGATCTACCACAAAAAATTCAGGTGACAAAGGAAGTGCATCGGTAAAATGCAAGTACAAGCAAATGCAACCTGACCAGGGTCCAAATTTCTTCCATCAAATTCTCTGTCGGAAAGCAAAGCAAATGCTTCTAGCCTTTTTTGTTGACAAAACAGTGTGAAATGCATGTGTGACTACTGCTGTGGGCTATTCCCTGGTCAATAACTGAGTTTTCACACTTTTGATTGATACAGAACCACGAAGAAAATTATTTGAATCCTACAGGTATTTCTTCCAATCACTGTGTAATACATTGATTTACTTTTTAGTCCTTGGAAGCCTGATATAAATTTTAATCTAATGTAATGCTTTTAACCACATATGCAGGGGGAGGGGGTGTTTCACTCACCCCTAGTCTCTTTTTCTCCTCCACGTGCCAGATCTTCATGGCTGCGTCCCAGCCTCCTGTCACCACCATCCTGCCCTCTGGGTGGAACGCCACGCAGTTGATGGGGGTGTTGTCACTCAGGGTGTCTAGAAGCCTGCCGTCGCTGTCGTCCCACAGCCTCAGGCTGCAATCCCAGGAGGCGGAGACAATCATGGAGCAGCGGCCGCTGTGGCAGCAGGAGCTAACGCGACGTCGGTGGCCCTTCAGGACGGCAATCCTAGGGAACCAGGAAGAATCGCAGGGTGTTGTGGAACAGTTCTGGGTGAGTTCGCGCAGCGAAAAACGCAGCCAACGTAAAATAGGAATGGAATGAGATATGACAAAATGTGATCCACTCTGTGAAAGCGAAAAAGTCTCCAGAACTGCTTTGGAGATAATAGCCTGAATAGAAATCTTACCCAAATTTCACCCTCATAGTGTTCATTCTCATTGGGATATCAAACTAAGCATATAAAAAAACAGCTTAGTCTGTCCTTTCTTATCAAAAGTGATTCTGGCGACTTCTGATTCACTTTCACACTGACAGTTCTGGGCAGCTGAACTGGGGTCATTAAGGTGAGCCTATAATAGCACTCAACCAGTGGTCTGCTACAGTCTGGGTTCCAACTTGTTCTTGTTTTACCATTGGGGGATCTATAGGTATCAGGTCTATACAAGTTGCACAAGGCAGGGTTGTGGCTAATACAAGAAGTCTGGTAGGCAAGACAGCGATGGCTGCACACGCACCTATGTCCCTGGTTGGCATCCCACAGACTGAGTGTCTGGTCAACGGAGGCCGTGA